CCAAGGTGCTTGATGACGAGAAAAAGGTCACCCATCGCCAGCTCTGTGATAACATGTCGAAGAAGATCGATGATAATAAGTTTTTCAACAAGATCTCCAAATTGCCGGGGGATTTTGACAACCAACAGCTGGATTGGGCATATGGGCCCATCGTCCAGAGTGGGGGACAATATGACCTTCGACTGAACGCTCAACCGTCTAACGACAATCTTCATTCCGGTTGCATCATTGCTGGGGTTGGATTCCGATACAAGACCTACTGTTCGATGTTGGCACGAACCTACTTGATCGACCCGAGCAAATCGCAGACGTCGAACTACAAGCTTTTGCTTGCTGCGCATGACGCCGCTTTGAAAGAGATCAAAGAAGGTGCGCTGCCCAAAGACGTCTACAACAAGGCTCTGGGCGTCGTCAAGGCTCGCAAACCTGAACTCGAGAAGAACTTTGGTAAAGATGTGGGTTCAGCTATCGGTATCGAAGTCAGAGATTCGAAATTTGTCCTGAACGGCAAAAACACCAAACCTCTCAAAGATGGCATGACGTTCAGCGTCACCACCAGCTTGTCGGATCTCACCAACGACAAACCTCAAGATAAGAAGAGTGCCAATTACACTCTTGTTCTGACAGACACAGTGCGAGTGACCAGGGGAGAACCGGTTGTTTTCACGAAAGAGGCACATACCGATCTAGACTCGATCGAGTTTTACTTTAAGGACGACGAAGAAGAGACAAAGCCGAAGCAGGAGAAGGCCAAGAAGCCCGGCGCTAGTGCTATTGTTACATCCAACATCAAGGCGACTCGTCTCCGAGGAGCCAATCGGCAGGACAACGCCAAAGAAGAGGAAGAGGCACGCCGAAGAGAGCATCAGAAGGAATTGGCAGCGAAGAAACAGCGTGAAGGTCTAGAGAAGTATGCCGAAGCGACTGGGGATATAAATGGCGAGAACGAGAAGAAGTTCAAGAAGTTCGAGTCATATAAGCGCGAAGGACAACTTCCTCCACGCGCCAAGGACCTGATTGTCTGCGTGGATCTCAAGGCGTCGACTGTCATTATCCCCATCATGGGCCGACCGGTACCATTCCACATCAACACGATCAAAAACGTCAGCAAGTCTGACGAAGGCGAGTACACACATCTACGCTTCAACTTCTTGTCTCCAGGTCAAGGTGTTGGGCGTAAAGACGACCAACCTTTCGAGGACCCTCAAGCACATTTTGTCAGATCTTTGACCATCCGCTCCAAGGATCAGGATCGCCTCTCAGAAATTTCGGCGCAAATCACCGAACTTCGGAGGTCAGCTGTCCGTCGAGAACAAGAAAAGAAGGAGATGGAAGATGTCGTGGAGCAGGACAAGTTGATCGAAATCCGCAACCGTCGGCCTATCAAACTCACGGACGTCTATCTTCGACCTGCGCAGGATGGCAAACGTGTTCCCGGTGAGGTCGAAATCCATCAGAATGGTCTCCGATACTCATCACCCCTCCGTCAAGAGCATGTCGATGTGGTCTTCTCCAATGTCAAGCATTTGTTCTTCCAGCCTTGCGTTGGTGAACTGATTGTGCTGATCCACGTCCACCTTAAAAATCCTATCATTATCGGCAAACGCAAGACGAGAGATGTCCAATTTTACCGCGAAGCAACAGATATGGCATTTGATGAGACGGGTAATCGGAAGCGGAAGCACCGATATGGCGATGAAGAGGAATTCGAACAAGAACAGGAAGAACGAAGACGCCGAGCTGAGCTCGATCGACTTTTCAAGAGTTTCGCGGAAAAGATCTCGGATCAAGCCAGGGACTATAATGTGACGGTGGATATCCCGTTCCGGGAGCTCAGTTTCAATGGTGTTCCGAACCGCTCCAACGTTCTGATGGCGCCGACGACTGATGCGTTGGTCCAATTGACGGAACCGCCGTTCACTGTCATCACGCTGGATGAGATTGAGGTGGCTCATTTGGAAAGAATACAGGTAAGGCAGGTTCGTGGCGTGAATTTTCGGGCTTAACTGACATATTGGGCAGTTTGGACTCAAGAACTTCGATCTCGTCTTTGTCTACAAGGACTTCCACCGACCGCCAACACATATCAATACGATTCCAGTGGAATCGCTGGATAGAGTGAAGGAATGGCTCGACAGCGTGGACATTGCATACACCGAGGGACCACTCAACCTGAACTGGAGCACGATCATGAAGACCGTGGCCACTGACCCACATCATTTCTTCACCGAGGGCGGCTGGAATTTCCTGGCCACAGAGACCGACTCTGAAGACCAGGAGGAGTCTGAAGAGGAAAGCGCCTTTGAGATGAGCGATGGGGAATTGGCGGCAAGTGAGTCGGAAAGTGAAGAGGATAGCGAGTTCGATGATGACGCGAGTGCGAGTGACGATGAAGGGGAAGCGGAGAGTGGGCTGTCTGATGAAGGGGAAGATTGGGATGAGATGGAGAAGAAGGCCAAGAAGGATGACAGGAGAGGTGGCTTGGAGGACGAGGATAAGGGAGGGAAGAAGCGGAAGAGATGAGCTTACAGCGAAGGGATATTGCCTTTGCGACAGCTTTCTCAGGTGCTGGAATGGCGGCTCCGAAGCCATGGGATGAAGGGGATGTCAACGCAAGGCAATGCAAAAGCAGGTGTTTGGGTGGGAGGGGGATGAAAAGTCTGCCTACAGTTCCTATGCCGTTGCTGCTGTATTGATAATGGGCATCTTTCTTGAATAGGGCTGGTTGATGAACTTTGCTTGGAGGCGCACCTTATGCTCTGCATGCTCGGTCCTTGTTGTAGATTCCGTACTGGATAGAAGTTTCAGGACGACGCTGGGGGTCTATGAGAATAGGAGGCAATTCTTTCTGTGTTCCAGCCCTGTTGGTCCTTGGTGGCGGACAAGGCTGTCTGGGTCAATTGCCGTCGGCCGAGAGAGCGGAGGTTTCTCCGAACATCTCCAACCAGCTTCTCATCTCAATAGCCGAGAAGATTGTAAGAAAACGAATTCGCTAGCCTATTGTCAGACATTCTTCCCACCGGCCTTCAATTCTTTCCATTGCGGTCGATAATCCTCTGAACCAGCTCCATCAAACGCATCGGTCTCCATCGATCACAATTTGAAGTTCACGCGTCGACCTATTAACTTCGATCGAATCCCGTATAGAACAATCAATAATTCTAGGAGCGAACGGATATAGCCGAGCAGGACGAAGGTCTAACCGGGCATTGAACGTTGAATATATTGGGCGTTGAGCGTTGAGGAGTGTCATACCGCTTACCTCACCCGCTCGCTCGCTCGCTCGGTCCCTTCCTCCCGTCTTTGTCAAGGTACATACATACATACACAAACAAACAGACCGAGAGACGGGCGACAAGAACACCGACAGAGGCCAGAGAGGAAACATGGGACCCTCGCTCCTATCCAAGTCCCTCCAAGCCGTTGGCATCACGACCTTCGCGAGCGTGTGCGCCTTCGCCGTGTGGACGAAGCACTGCCACTTCACGCCTCCCGCGCAGTTCAACCCGGCCAGCGAGCCACTCTTCCGCTCTGCGTGGTTCGCCAGGTTCAACCCGCGCAACCACGAGGCCACCTACGACGAGTGCGTGCGCCGCATCAGTCTCAGCAAGATCCGGCCCGAGCTGCTCGAGGATGCGCGGAAAGGGGGGACGAGGCTGGTCGAGGAGTTTTGTAGGGGTGTTTGGGGCGGGCCTGGTACGTTTTTTTTTCTTCTTCTTTATTCTTCATGGTTGTCTGACTCCTTCCATCCTTTTTCTTTTTTGCTCTTGCTGGAGGAAGAAGGGTGGTGATGTACTTATCCAAGGCAACATTCTTTGGAGTGGTCTGCCTTTCTGTGCTTCAGTGAGGGGGCTGGTCTTTGCCGGCATCGCTGGCGTTGTCTGTGGCAGCGGCAAACGCGTCAAGGGACTTCGGGGCGGTCGTTCACATGTTTTCACTCTTGCCTCTCTGCCTATCCTGCTATTTTTTCTCCTCTGGCATTTACGCATTGCCCTCTTCTGCGCCTCGACCACCCATCTGGCATAGGCAAGCAAATCTAACCGCCCGTCCTTTTCCAACCCCCGCCCTTTTGGCTCGGGGGTTGGTTGCAGGAATCTTGAATAAAAGGCTACACAATCCAACGCCTCTACCTACAATCCAAATACCGCAACGACACCACGACGGCGCACCAGCTATGGACGCCCGCGCAGCTACGTAGCTCGACGTACGAGGTTGGGACCGAGATCACGGACCACTTCGTCGTGTTGGACAAGACCCCCGGCCGCATCCTCATCCGCTGCGGCGACTCGCCCCTGCACAACCCGGACAAGCCCCGGCCCTCGGATGGACTGTTTGAGATGTGCGCCACGGCCGACTTTGACCAGGGCTTCGCGGAGTTCAGGCTGAAGAGCATCTTCTACGTCGGCGAGGGCGAGTGGGCGTCGGCTTCTGCCGTTCAAGGGAAGGGAGAGGATAAAGAGACCAAGTGGGAGAATCGCGGACCCATGCAGGGAACCATGCTGTACGCGCACAAGTTGTATACTAAGTTGTGGATGGAGAGTGCGCTGAAAAGGGTCAAGCAGTGAATTGGCGCTCGGGAAGGAGACAATTTCTTGAGACAGGATAGTCAAGTCCCATTGTAAATACTGACCTTTGATTGGGAGCAACAGTCATTTTTGATGAATTAAATCCCAGCTGCTGCAGTGTCTGCGGTTCCCTCGGGCCCCGTCTGATCAAACAGGTCTGGCATTCTCCTTCAGCCCAGAGTTGTTCCAATTCGAGCGCTGCTAAGCTGTTCGGTTCTCACCATTGCTCAGGAAAGCAGTTCGTCATCATGATATCCAGGTACGCACTCCCTATGGACTTCGTCGCCTTCACGCATGAAATGCCGCGTGCCCAACTCGGCCCCCTTCCATTGGTGACTGCGAAGCTCTCTGTGTGATATGGTGTCAATGCATGCTGTATCGGGCATTCCGGTGTTGGTCGTTGAACGTGTTTGGACTTGTTGAAATTGAAGTCATTCAACCAGTGTGGCGAACGTAGTAGTAGTAACCGCTGGTCGCATGCTTCTCCCAATGCCCGGCCGGGAAATCACCCTTCAAAGTATCGTTGTATTCTCTCAACGTCCAGCTTCCATCGAGTTCCTTGCACCAGAATTGCTGGCTTGCACCAGGTTTGTAAGGTGCCAGTTGGGTTGGTTGCTGCTGAGCCGCTTGGAGGTTGGCGAGCAAGATAGCGTTCTGGGCTTGGATTTCTGCAGCTGTCGCTCCCACGAAGTAGGCTGGTGCATTGGGCATGGCCGCAAGGGCAGCGTTGGCAGCTACGGCGGCGGCGGCTTGTGCAGGGCCCGGGGCTTGAGACCATGACGAAGTAAGTGGGAATTGAAGGGGACTCGGGGCTGTATAGTATGGTGAGTAGCTATACGGGAAGAATGGAGTGCTCGATGTAGAAGTGGCAGGCAAGGTGTAGCAGGTGTACGCAGAGGAGGTGTAAGGCCAACCAGTTGAGGCAGTAGGAGGGCTCATTCCGTAGTAGAGGCCATTCACGTAGTAGCCAGCTGGGGCACTGGAACTGCCCTAGAGTGAGGCGTGAGTGAGGTGGCTCTGATGACGGCAATAGAGTCGATGACTTTACTTACTGGGAAATAGTACATGGCTGGTTGAGCGGGTTGGTTCGACTGGTAAACGGCTGCTGGCGGATGAATTCCCTGTGCACCTCCTTGATTAGACACGTAGAGATAGGTTCGAGGCCAATCCGCCGGGTTCTCCCAGTAGCCGGTCGAGCCTTGGGTGTTCACGGCCGCGGGATTTGGGGGGTGGTAGGTGTAGAAATGGGGCATGGTTCGTTGTGAGGGCGGCAAGGGAGAAGGACTTGACTTTGGTGGACGAGGGCGAAGAGAAATGGAGAGAAGTGAGCGAAAGATCTCAGGGACGGATTCCGATATTGACACAAAATTCACTTGCAACGCACCTGCCGATTGTCTGGATAGAAACCGTGGTTCTCGTCGAGGAAGATGTACTCTTGCTTGACAGGCTCGGCGGCAAGTTGGACAGAGTGAGCCCATGGCCAGCCGCCGCAGGAAAAACACATGGCGAAGATGACGGTGGTGGTGTTAGTGATGAACCCCAGGAGCTGGAAAGATATGGGACGACGGAAAGATGTCGTTGACTGCGCTCCAGGAGCTGGAGATGAAAGGAATGAATGAGGACGAGGAGGGACTGGCCGATGTGGCCGATGTGGCAGAGCGCAGCCGTCAACTGTGGAAATGTGTGGAGGACACGTCCAGCAGGGTCAACAGGGTCAACAGGGTCAACAGGGTCAACAGGGTCAATATAGTCAATATGGTCAACATGGCTTCCTTCAATCAGTCTTCACCTCCCGCAGCTTGGTCTCCAAGCGACGGGGCCTCCTACCTATTCTTCTCCCACTCTTTTTCCCATTCTTCTCCGTCAACTCTCTCCAGCTCAATCAGCCAGGCCCTTAATCAAGACTCTTCACAGAAACCAGCAAGTGACATCGAGTCCCTTCGCTTGTTGTACTAAAAGCCCGAGCAGGAGATCTGCCACTGCCGCGCTGTAAAGGTGATGCTTCTCGCCCTTGTCCTGGCTCGTCCTTTTTGTCTGCATCTCATCCTGACTCCCTATTCTTGGACCGTCGTCTTCATCCACAAAGCCACCACATGTTGCTGAACTCCTCATCCAGTCTCATTGAAATGATGCACGCCATGACCCCAAGTTGCACGTGTCCAGGCACAGGGAAGAGCAAGAGACGGTGGAGGTCGAGAAGAATGAGAACAAAGTGACGACACGCCTCGACCTCGGCCTCCAAACACCAACTGACACGCTCGACGCGCTACGAACACGAACACGCCCAACACGCGCTACTCGTATCGATAAAGATTCTGCCGATCGACGTCATGTGCCACGACTGTGCTCCTGTTGCAAGTCAACAAGAGGTTCACTCTCCTTCCGGATCTTGCCAATCACAAGTCGGATAATCCTTTAGATACATCTATATATGGTCTGCTGAACCGCACCCCGCAAACCGACCATCCCCTCAAAGGTTTGCGGTAACGGCTGCCTGCGTCCCAACCCGCAGGCAGCCTCGTCGAGCCTCGTGACGGACGGCAAGAACCAAGGTTCGATACACAACCGCAATCTTCGTCTCTTTTTGATGCATTGTTGACCATCTTTTGTATGCAGCAGTTTGGTTCCTCGAGGCACATCATGGCCATCAAAAGCGAAGACAATATCGTGGCCCCCCCAACACACGTCATCGACCTCTCGCTCGAGCCTGAAGACCGCTACAAAGCCCTAGCGCAGACATACCAGACCGAACTTCGAGGTCTTACAGATTTATTCAATAGCCTGCTCAGCGACATTGGCCTCTCCAGGTTCTACCATGGCCCGATCAATCTTCTCACCCGATTACTCCTCCGAAGCGTAAACTCTCCTGTGGAGACGGCCGAACTTCGTGGGATAGCTAAGGTAACTGGGGTCCCGATGCATCTGCTCGTCAGCTTCAATGTCATCTTGGATTGTCTCATGGGGTGCACCTCAGGCGCGGTCAAAGTCCTGGGAGCGGGTCGACCCAAGGGACGAAGCCAGATGCTGCACTTCCGCACCCTGGACTGGTCAATGGACCCCCTCCGATCCATCATCGTCCAGCTGGAATTTGTTCGAAGCAGGTCCGCAACGCCTGGCCAGATCGTCGCTCGAAGCGTCACCTATGTCGGTTTTGTTGGCATCTTGACAGGCGTACGTGAGGATTTGAGCCTGTCTCTCAATTTCCGGGGTGTACACAATGCCGCGAGCAGGCGTGACCACGCGAAATTTTACCTTCACCATCTGCTCGTTCTGCTTGGATACCGTCAATCAATATCAAGCATTTTGAGAGAATATATAATATCGGAGAATCCAGAAGACGATCAAACCAAGAGCCTGGAGGAAATCTCAGAACAGCTTGTGCCTCGTCACACCACTGCGGCTTACCTCCTCTTTTGTGACGGCTTCTCGACGATGGTCATTGAGAAGGACTATGAGACCGGCGTTGTCCGACGATCCAATACCTTTATCGCTGTTACAAACCATGATGACGAAGACTGTGGGTTATCGACCGAAGCCATTCCTTTTACCGGTCACGTCTCGGCTAAGTCGTCTGGAGTGAGAGCTGGAATGGAAGCACTTATTGAGGAGAGCAAGGATAGACTCGACGCTATTGCGCTGAGATGGAGAGCTTGTCTGCGAAAAGCGAAAAGAAAGTCGAAGAAAGAAGGGAAGGATCCCGCCCAAGTCGAGCGGAATCTAGCAGTCACAACGGACGAGGTGATTGAATGGGTGTCGTCGTATCCAACGACTAACGAGCAGACTCATTTTGCAACCATCATGGATCCTCTCAGCGGGCAGGTGGTTTGGACACGGATCTATTCCGAGCCGAGTTGAAGGTCACTCCAGACTCTGTGCCATGCACCCAGTCCTTGAGATGGAACAATCAGGTGGTGGCGTTTGGGAGCATTCAGTCTTCGATTGCGGACTCGGACAGGGCACTAGAACGGAAGACATCATTCATTGATTTTTGGCATGGGAAACAGACCCGCACGCATAACGAGGGATGGGAACGATTCGAGTTTGCGGCACCAATACCCCAGTACGATTAGGTGTCTTCTGGAGCAATCAATCGCCTAGTGGCAGGCAGACAGACAGTTATAGTCGAAAAGATTGAAACCAAAGCTCCTTGTAGTTGATGATCTTGTCCGGATGGCGCCGAGTTTGCATGCTTTGGCTGGGATGCATGACGAATTGACTCTGGATGAAGCTTTTTCCATATATAGAAATATGGAGACATGGACCGACACCACACACACACAGCACCATATCACCCCTTTTCCTCCACTGCCACCATCACCACCATCGACAACATTGAGACTACACCGGACATGTCAAATCACTCACTCATCCACTCACTGGCCTGCCCAAAGGACTTTTCTCCTACCGCAATTGCAAGTGTCTTGGTTCAATGTCGATCGCTCAGGTCTGTGAGTATGCAAAACGAGGTCTTGCCTGCCGGGTCTATCAAGGACACATTCAACTACCGCTCTTTCATCTCTTCTTCTATTTCTTCTCTCTCCTTCGTGCTTTCCATCTGTCTTCTTTTCCTATGATCTCATATACAATTTCCTGAACTCCTCCTTTTCCATCACACTTTTCATTCGCTCCACCACTTCAGACATTTGTTTACCCTGACCCATTATCTACCATGGCCAACATGATCCTGGCATGCCTATCTCTTGCCCTGGTGTCCATATCTCCACTCACCACAGCTATGCCGGCTCCAGGGCCGTTGGGCACAGGCTTCATTTCGCAAGATTCGCCCCTCGAAGCCTGGGTGGAAGACCACCGTCCCGGACAATACCTGCCTTGTACAGCGGATAGACTCAAGGTCCGCAAGGATTACAACTCGATGACCCCTGAAGAGCGCAAAGCTTACACCGATGCCATCAAATGTATGGCAACCAAACCGTCCCAACTTGACCAAACCCTCTACCCTGCAGCTACCAATCGCTACATGGACTATGCTGTCATTCACGTACTCCGAACAAGACAGGTCCATCTCTCTGGCTTCTTCCTGACCTGGCATCGCTATTTCTTGCATCTGTTTGAGGAAGATTTGGCGAACGAGTGCGGCTACACCGGCGCGTTTCCTTACTGGAATTGGCCCGAGACTGCAGACAATCTTCATGACAGCGCCATTTTTGACGGGTCTGAGCATTCCATGTCTGGTGACGGTGAATACCGCGACAGCGGTCCTGTGATACTCTCATCAACCTTTCAGCTTCCACAAGGATCGGGAGGAGGCTGTATCACGTCGGGCCCTTTTGCCGATTGGGAGGTCACAATGCAGCCTATCCCCATCAACTACATTATCCAGGGTCTGGAACTGCCTCCCACAGCTTTCGAGCTCAATCAAAGCTGCCTTACTAGGGACCTCAATATCTACGCCGCTCAGACTTACACAAACTACGATGCGCTCTACCAGTGCTTGGAGACCGAGGACATCGAATCTTTCGACGCCCAGATTAACGGTGTGCTCGGCAGTGGTGAACTGGGATTGCATTCCGGGGCTCATTTCGTGGTGGGGTCTCCCGGGTCGTCACTATACGTCTCGGTCATGGATCCGGTATGGTGGCCTCTCCATGCATTCTTGGACAACGTGTACACTTCGTGGCAGAACCGCCATCCTCTGGTTGCAGATGCCGTCTATGGGACTGAAACTGCTGTCAACCTTCCACCAAGTGCTAATGTCACGCTCGATACGATCCAGCCAGATTGGGGATACCTCCAACAAGATCCAATTGCGGTGGGAGAACTCATTAGCACCACATCTGGACCGTTTTGCTACGAATACGATGTTTCGTTTTGATCGACCATCTTTGACTTCGACTTGGGCCAGTACGCAGCACAACTCTTACGGCCGCGACCTGCAATATTATGGCAAAGTTATCGTGTTCGGATAGAGTATGTTTCGCCAACTCGTTTGTGCAATTCTGGTTTGGTGGTCCAGCACGACTTGCATATGCTTCCGCAGTGGTGACTTTGGTATATTTCGTGAGGCTTTTCCTGAGGACATTACAAAATAGGTTGGGGGTAATACACGACAGACGATAGACGCGGACTAGGATTAATAACATTAGCATAGTTCTCGTATCCAATACACTCATGGCTCCACTCAGCTTTCGCCGCTTCGATATGACGTCCCGTCGTCCACTGCACTGATTCTTTTCCATTCTAAATCGGCAGCAGCAGCCGCAGAAGAAGAAGAAGAAGAAGAAGAAGAAGAAGAAGAAGCATCCTTGATAGCCTTGGAAATTTTCATTGTTCCCATAGTCGGGTTGTTATGGAATAGTAGTGGCGACGGAGAGCCTATGAGCTAGCTATCGGCAGCCTTTGTAGAGATTTGGGCGAGCAAGGAGGTGGTCGTCCTTTCATCCATCCACCCACCCATCCATCCATTCATTCATTCATTCATGTCGTCCTCCGCCACTCACCCAACTCCTATGGCAGGTCGTCGGTACATCTCCAGCACATCTACATTTCCGCGTAACCAGTGATTAAGCCGTCTTCATCATTTCTTCTTCTTTTTCGTCTTGTCCTCGACGCTGATCCACCTCTTATCCACGCCCCTCCGGCCCATTTCCTTCTCAACCACGTCCCTCTGATCGCCCTGCACGAGAATCTCCATCATGCCAGGTTTCCCGCCGACCAACTGGCCCACGCTCGCGGATCCCGCGCATTTCTTCTGCAGCTCCGGGCCCAGTATGTGCGGGTTGATGCCGAAGACCTCCAGGCCCGATATCTTGGTCACGACCTTCGTACCCGAGCGTTTCTCGACCACGATGGTGACTTGCGGAGGCGGACCGGGTTTGGGCTTCAATGCCGGATCGGGCGAGTCGGCGTCGTAGGTTTGTGAGTTGCGGAGCAGAAGCCAGTGTGGGATGCAGAGGTGGGTGTCTTCGAGGATACGTTTGAGGAGAGCGTCGCGGGCGATCTCTCCCGCTGCCAGGACGCGTGTGTCGGTGGCAGTAGGGTTCGAGCCAAGGATGTTATTGGAGATAAAAGGGTCGAGTTTGATGAAGCGGGCGGATGATGTGTTTTCCGTCAGTGTTGGGTCGTTTTCGATGTACTTTTTGAGGAAGGAGGAGATCTGCGAGGATGTGTAGTATGTGGTTTTAGAGGGGATGAGGTCAGGAACCAGTTTGTGGGAAGCCCGATAGATGGTTTGCAATGTGAGTTTCTGCCCGAGGGAGGTATCGGCTCCGCTGGCCGAAGGCTGTGTGGTGTCCACGCCGCCTGTTGACGTCTGGGCTTTTTGCTTCGGTAGTTTGTAGGGTTCAAAGTTGACGACTCGGTGGTCATCGAAATCGACATCCAAAATCACCGTCTCCCCACCATTCCGATCTTTGGATTTGACCAGCACCTGTTTCTCTAGATGCTTGATAAACTTCTTGGTGTTTTTCCAAGAAGTTTTCTTGATCGTATAGTGTTGGTTCTGAAAGCGTAGATGTGGTTGTACCATATTCGATATCACGAATGACGGCTGAATAGGAAAGTCGAGCCCGTGATGTGGAGGATCGGCGGCTTTTTTGGCGTCATAGAGCGCGTAGATGAATGCTTGTACAAATGCCTCATCGACTTCGGCGGTGGATGGTTCTTTTTCGGCTTCTGCTTCATCCTCGTGAGCCTCCTCCGATCCATTATCGGCATGGCTCCCGTTTTGAGCCTCGCCCCTTGAAGTGTCGAGGTTGACACCGCCCTCTTCTTGAGCATCTTCATCCTCATCGCTTGCTGTCAGGTCAAGCCTTTCCACTCCATCTTGTATGTCGCCGGACGGGAATTCCCATCCATCTATCATCTCCGGAGCAGCTCGGCCTCCACTTCCAAACTGGCTCCAACTCCAAATCTCGTCTCCCTCCCAGTGTACCCCCTCCACGGCGGCTCCTTTCGCTCCTTGCACCCGACTTAAACTCGAGATGTCGATCTTACATATGCCCACCCAAAGAGGCACAGTAGGCTTCTTCAAGCCGGCGACAGCAACAACTGATCCCGTTTTGGCAGACTCAGGCCACGGTGGTCCACCAACGAGCCCGGGCGTCATCAGGTCAGCCCCGGTGCGGAGTTTCTCGACGACAAAATCTTGCGTGTGTAGTAAGGGAACTATGCCCGGGTTATGCCACAGCGTATACACGGTTGGATATAGCCTCGAATCTTTCCCATATTGAATCCATAATATCCTCTCTTCTTGGCCAGGATGAGCACCCACATACACTGTCCCCGACACTAATGTTGCATTGGGTCCGGCGTGAGTTGTGAAGCGCGCGGAGAGGCATGTCTCAGGAACAAGGCTCGTGCGGACGGAGGTGAGTGCCGGGGTAGGATGATGGATCGAGGAAGGCGGTGGGTTCTCTGCCGTGGCTGCAGTGGGATCGATCTCTTCCAGGGTAGGCACATGTACTTGGTAGTCGGCGATGATCTGGTCGGCGAGTTTGCGCCGATCAGAAGATCGGAGGGGCGAGAGGTTCTTGATCTGAGGTTTCTTCTTGAACATGTTGGACGGAGGAGATGCTGGCAAGACCAAAGTATTATAGAGAGGTATCGAGATTCACGGGCGCTTGGATGTGTTGTGCGGGGAGGCACACAATGTGGAATGATATTAAGCGATCTGGTATGTGGGAGGAGTGAGAACACCCACCAGACTCGAACTTTTGATGTCTCCGCCTGCAGAGATTCCAGAGAAGTAAACAGCAACAAGATACGGAGCTCCAGCAGTGAAGCACTACGACTAGAAAGTGCGACGTTGGAGTTTCACACAACGTCGCGAAATTTGGAGGAGGGGACAAAATACGTCATTTCAAACTCACACCAACGCCACCAACTGAGGAGGGTTGGGAGTGCAACGTGCCAGACGAGGGACTAAGTATACATACGTCTATGAAATAGGGACCGATTCCCTTGTCCCGCTTCCAAGTCAGCTCTTTCTCAATGACCGTCACCCTCAATTCAGGAAGCATAGATCCCGGCCTTCTTCTGCCGGGCCTCTTTCCACCAGCTGTCTGCATTCTCAGAGATGCCCGGGGGTACAATGTGCTCTCTCAGTTTGCGCTTCCCTGACTGGTCGATGCCCAACTCGTCGTTCCTCTCCTTCATCGCCTCGTCCACGTCAAGCTGCTTGGCCTCGGTCAAAGAGCCCATCAGTGTCGGTGGGCCGAGTGGCAGTTCGTCGCCTCTGTCGACCTGCCAGAAGTGGTACAGTTTGCCGTAGAGAGTTGCGACCTCCTCCATCGCTTTGGTTTCCAAATCGTCCCACTTGTCCTTTTGGCGCTTATGAGACGCGGGATAAGGGAGAATGAGCATGCCGGATTTGACCTCGAACTCGTGCGAGTGCCAGTACTTCTGTTCTTCGGGGTCTAGAGCCTCGTAGCGAGCTTTGGGGATCATGAACTCCACACCAATGAGTCTGGCTCCAGGTTTGCACGAGTCGTAGATGAGACACTGTCGAAGATCTGCAAAGGGGGTTAGCAGTCGGGGTAATTGGTCGCGGTGCTCATTCGCTGTGCCCATTCAGGGATTTGCACTGACCTTTGCTAATATGCGAGCAAAAGTGATGCGCCGAAACTGTCCTCACAACGCCTTGTCGAGCTTCATCGGTATAGATGTGAAGAGCATGAAGGTACTCGCAAATGTTGTGCAACGGCTCCATTTCGGGCTCTGTTGTTCCTCGCACATGAGTCTGGATTCCCAAATACAAGAGCCACGACTTGAACCAGGCGGTCGGGCTGAAATGAAGCGCCCATGAGGCGAGTCCAGTGAGACCTGGACCGACGACTTGATTTGAACTCATGGTCGATAACGCGGCGTGATGTCTCCGTGTTTCTTTTTCGAGATGGATGGGTCTTGTGAGAAGAAGAAGAAGAAGAAGAAGAAGAAGAAGAAGAAGCATGGAGAGAGGTGCCGTATGAGTGAAAGGAAAGTGATATACATCGCCATCTTGAAGTGTTCGGGGACTGATGTCACACTGCGTCCATGTTCGGTCAGTATTCTTGGTATGACCTCGACTGCCCGCTCGTCTTTGCAGTCCATCGAATTTCGCTCTTCTCCATCAGTCCTCTCCGTTCTCTAGTGCTCTTATCGTCCTGATGCTAAAATGGAGAGAGAAAGGAAAGGTGCTTGCAGCTGATGGGAGGGCCATTAATAGATGTATGGCCTTTGCGAATCTGGATTGATACTCGCCCGGCCAGAGCGTCGGATGCACCTCCCGATGTGGCGAGTGTGGCTTCTACGTGTAGGCGGGGATTTAGTACAGCGTACTCGGTTACCTCGTATGTACGAGGTAACAACTGGACCACGAAGAACACCGCACAACACTGCTCGGTACCTAGATTACAGACGGGTGTCAGGGAACCTGGCGGATTCCCTACCCTTATGCTGCTGCCTAAACTGTTTTACAATGGAAGGGGTTTGTGTTCCTCAAAGCTGATAGGATCATGCCTGCATATAAAACGGCGGACCAAGAATGCTAAATGTGCGAATCTTGGTCCGCCCGGATTCGGATGCCTAGAAGCGGATCAACTAATAGGGTGTGGGGGTGGGAATCGACACAGCTCAAAGCTCTCAACGACTCCGATTCGGCCTCCGCGATCTATTGATTCGAACATGAGGTATTCTATCATGATTCAAAGCAGAGGTATCAACATTTGGCTCCTTTGCCAGTCCTGTAATTGTTCGAGAACATACCACTCAAGCATAGACCATTGCAAAAAGCTTTTCTCGAAAGGCGATGGCGAGACTTCCGATGGTTCGTCGCACGTCAGATGGTTCTGATGTCCACGGGGATCCTATGCCGCTGATCAAATAGACGTAGTGGGACTGGTCGTAGAAATCCTTGGCTTAGAAGTCCTTGGCCGGCGAGTGCTGTTAAAGACGAGCTTGATAGTCAGGGTTGTGGTAATCACGAATAGCAGGAATTCCAACGCCCCAAAGACTGTCGCCGCCTTGAGCGACCCACAGCGGTTCTCTACTGCCGGACATGCATTGCTCCCTATGTTAACAGCCACAGCAATGAAACCAGCAAGCCACGAGAGGAGAGCCACAGCCTCGACGGCGACACGAATATAGCCAATCAATGCATGGTCCGCGAAGCTGATTCCAGCAATGAGGAGGAAGATGACGCCCGCAAATGTCCACGCAGCACAGAACATCAAGAAGCCCCACGCACCAGGAACGCCGTAGTAATCGTAGAAGTTGCCGAACTCGAAGTGTTGGTAGACAGTGTGGCCGCGAAACACATGGATAGCTAGGCGATGGGGTCAGACTCGACGGTGCATCGACAGAGTAGGATATATTAGTTCTCCGTACCATAGCCGTCTGTTCCCATCACGATGATGGCGAAGACGAGCTGCAGCGCTCGCAGGGCAAAGTCAACCGGTCTATTCGCCGCTATATTCATGGCTATAATGTGCAGCGGTCCCTCGACCGACGTCGTCATTTAGCGAAGAGAACGCTGTAGAGCCCAAAATTGCTGTTGCAAGAGGGCACGGCCGTCTTTCGTGCAATACAATTCCTGAGAAATGATGCCTAGTGCTGTGTAGCGCAAGAAAAACATCAGTTTTGCCGACCAACGCCGACAGCCCACGAGTTTTGTAAAGGGATCTGTGGTCGAATTCGGGAGGAGGTGACGAGCACGCCGAACAACTGAAGAACTGAGGAACACAGCGGAGAAGAACAAATCGAAATCTGGGCTCAGGGAGCTGGTGATGGCTTATTTGGCAGCGAGGGCACGAGCCAGGACGACTCCACGTGCAAAGGCCAGGCAACAGAATTCTAAGGACCCGGTATTGTCAGGCCATCCCAGAAGTAGGAATCTTCTTCGCGACGAACCCAGCCGTAGGGGTGTTAATCTGTCCATGACACGATTCGGTCAGCGACGTACTGCGAATGGAGGACCTCGTACCCGACAAAGAGCTTGGAACTGCGTCAACCACCGATCCACCTTGAGAAACAAAACTGACAGGGGCATCACGAACCAGCACGAGCACATCAAACAACGGCTCCGTCGACCAAAGTACCGAATAAGGAGCATCCAGAAAGGCCGATTCGTAGTCAGTCTACATCATCTTGTTGCATTTGTTGCTATTCCACCTTCGTGACATTCGGCTATTGTCTTGACATATACCTACCACAGCCAACCCCGGCGTCTGTATCTAACCTGTGCCGGTTCGGTCCGGGACGCTCTAGGAGTAACGGGACAGAGAGATATTCCCCTTCTTTAGATAGCTAGATACAGACTACTAAGACCCCTAGAACTAGTGCCAAGACCTCCCCAGTTAACATAATACCCTGGACAGCTTTATTACCGCTATCCTATAGCCTGGGTATTTCGAGTTTACCCGTCTAAAGGAACACAAGATTGATCACATTCCTGAAGCCTCCCCGTCCCGATGCTCCGCATTATATTCGTGTCCTCGCATACTTAACTTCATTGCCTTCTGCAAGTCTTCATCGTCGTGATCCTCTATCGCTGTGCCACGACCCTTGCCTTTATTCCGATGGCATGCTTCCAAGAGACTTTGCTTCTTGATGTACTCCATCACAATCTCTTCTTCCGTCCTCTCTTCTGCCGTTTTCTCCCCCCGCTGTCCCTGTTGTTGCGCCTCGAACTCGCTTTGCCTGGTGCCCGCGAGATGCCCCGGATCATACGAACAGGGTCGCTGGACGCTGGCGTGTCGCGGAGCTTCGTTTCCGCTGGCCGCTATCGCCTGGCGCAGATTCTCCTGCTCTGCCTGATGATCTGCAGCTTCTTGTTGTTGGCGCTGAAGCTGAGACACGTTTTCCTGAATCACCCGTTCCATATTGGCATCCCCTTCTATGTCTCTACGTGGCGTCTCCTGGATTGATAGTGGGATGCTTTCGATGATTTCAGGGGCGTTTAGCGATTCTTCAGGGGACTGTGAACCACCCATGGTGAGTATGGTACTCTCGGGATCTAGTGGCAGAGCATCTGCACTGGCGGACTGAGCGGAATTCGCGGGATGTCCGCAGTTTTGGCGGGCCACGGTGCCCTCTATGTTCTTCTTACGTTGTGCTTCCAGGACATCTTGCACCATCTCGTCAGGGTTGCGGTTTTTCTTGAGGCTTTTCTGGATCAGCTTCCACCGAACGATGACGTCTTGCTTTTCTGCATCAGAGCTCTGCAGCCACTCCTCGTATCCTTGAGCTACCCTGGAAGCGACGATGTAGTTCTGCACATTGTTGCCGAATAACTTCTGCACCTCTTTTTGTACCCCCTTCATCGTATGGCCGAGGATACCAGAGAAGCCTGCGAATGGCTTGGTTGCAAATCCTGCGACCCCTTTGCCGATTCCTTTGACAAAGCCGCTAGCGCCCTCTTTCTGGGCGCCTTTCCAGGGTTGAGTGACCAGGCCAGTAACGCCATCGTACCAGCCAAAGCCGAACTCTTTTCCTGCTGCCATCGCGCCTGACTTGAAATCGTTGACTTGTTGTTGAGGGCGGACGGTATCGTCTCCCCAAAGCTTTGGGAGATTGTGAAACCCTTTGGTTAAACTCACTGAGATTTCCATAGGTGTCTGCACAAACGCCTTTACGAAACGCCCAAGGCCTTTGCTCGGGTGCACGCCAGTATGACGCAGCATGTCATGTTCCTGGCCGAAGCCGGATTCGTTCCGACTGCGAACTCGACTTCGGCTAGCGTCATCTTGTTTGGGACTCAGCTGGCCTTGCAATGCATCGGACATAGAGCTCGGTCCGATGTTCGAAGTGGGAGATGACAGACCGGAGAGGTTGGGAGGGGTCCGAACACGAGTATGTGATTTCTGCACATTCAAGCTCGTCTGGCTTTGTTCTGGTGAATTTGGCGGAGTTGATCTTTCCCCTGCTTCTGAGGTCTCGCTTTTCCTTACAATTGTCGTCACTGATTCTTGGGACTGCTGTCGGCTGGACCCAATCGGGATGTGCAAAGTTTTCACCATCTCCGACGGAACCTCGACTAACCCCATCGCCATGCCATTGAACGCCCTAAAACATGCCGCAGCACCTCCGGATATCGGATCCCAAGGACCTTCGTCGGTGTCATATTCTTGTGGTCTAAAGAGCTTCAAGTCATGGAAATCCAAAAGATTTGTATTCGCCAAAGTACAGGCAGCAAAAGCGCTTAACCTGACCTGGGTGCGCTTGATGCGCCACGCAGCGGGTCGAGATGGTGCAAGGGTGCAACGGAGCCGGTCAACATCGAGATATTGATGGAACGACTGAGCACCCGTTTCGCTACCTCGCTCGGCCGCGATCTTGCTTGCGAGTTCTTTGGCGCGTTCCAGGCTTTCGGTCTTCAGGCAGAAGTTGATGGCATCAGCTAGTTTGTCCGCTGTGAGTTGTTTGTAAGGAATTGGATCGGGCCCGGCGCCTGCTCGCGCGACCATGGCGCCCCAGAAAGGTTGGTCTCCGAAGAAGGGAACAACCACAGTTGGCCGGCCTGCCCTAATGCCTGCCGCCGTGGTTCCTGCGCCACCATGGTGAACAACGCACGAGACGTACTTAAAAAGCCAGTCATGCGGCACGTTGCCTAGCATAAAGACGCCGTCGGGGATATGAAGCCTGTCCGCACCCATACCTCCCCAGCCTTTAGAAAGGAGGACACGCTGGCCAGTCTTCCTTACGGCCTCGAAGATGAGCTCCGTCATCGCATTAGGGTCGTCCAAAACGATGCTCCCGAATCCTATATAGACGGGCGGTGGACCGGCGTCGAGGAATGCCTGGAAATCAGGGCCAGGGCTGTAGTTAGAGGCCAAGTTGAGAAAGTAGAACCCGGAGATAGATATTTGAGGGCCCCAGTCTTTTGGTTTAGGTATTAGGGCCGGAGACCAGCAGTAGGTGTGAGGGACTTTGAGACGCTGAAGCATCCCGGGGGCCCAGATCAGACTCACGGGATCCAAACCGAGACACTTCGCGCGAAATCGGTTAATGATATCACCTAGGCCCTGCCACGAGAGGAATTCGATCATAGCATAACTTATGTAATTAGTAAGTTGAGGGTCGGCATTAGAGGATTGGATGTTGGCCAGCGGATGGGGAAAGGCCTGGGTGGGCGAATATGGCATAGTGAACATGATATGGAGAGGGATGCCCAGCTTCTCTGCGCAATGGATATGGGCAAAGCTTGGGGGGTTGGCGATGATGCAGTCGGCGACGAGGGGTCTTGCTGTAGACTCGGAGCTAGAGTCGTTCTCAGAGGGCTCAGAAAGGTCATCGTCGGTGGCACGAAGGCCCATTCCGTCACCGGCTTCGTAACATGAGCGCCAGCAGCCCTGAATGTACTCGGCAACATCTCTTCTTTGCTGACCGACATCTCCACTTAGTAGACTGCGAAAGCCCGGCAACAGGCGGGGATTCTTGACCATGAAGGCCATTAGCCGGGAGGGGTTGCCACCGATGCTGAAGAATTCCAGGCCATTCTCCTGTACAAAGTCCTTGAAATTAGGATGAGTCGCCAGACGTACGCGATGGCCGTAGGTGTCTTTTAAGACTTTCCCCAAGGCAACGAAGGGTTGCACGTCTCCGCGCGAGCCCACGACCTGGATGACGATGTGCAAGGGCGGGGGTGGAGGAATTCCCCTGTCGCCTCCTAAGGAAGGAGGAATGTAGGGGGAAGGAGGCGGGCGACTATCTTGGATACTCTGGACCTCTTGACGTAAAGCAGGAGTAAAGATCTGGGATAAACGGCGGTTGAATTGATTGATGCGGATGTTGATACGGCCGTCGTCGGTGACATGAGTACTGATGCCCAGGCCGTGCTTTTCGTTGCGGATCTCGCCATTGATCTGGCCATAAGCAGGAGGGGGCATGTCGTCCTCGGCAGAATCGGGGGTGATGAGGTCAGTCATTTGCAAGAGGCCCTCCCGTCTCGTAGGTCTTGTGGGATCGGTCTGGGCCGCAGCGGCAGCTTGTGCTTGCTGAAGCATGGATTGCTGCACGACGGTCTCCGGGGCGGGTCGGCACTTTTCCGAGGGAGATTGGATAGCCATGGTGTTAGTGAGAGGTGACAGGTTGGGTTCACCTTAATCAGTCACGGCATCAGTATTATATCGTGGGGGAGCGACTGAGGCGAGTAGCTGAGTGAGGTGAGGCGCCGGCAGGGAGAGAGAGGGTCGGAAAGATTCTGTCATAGATGCGTACATAACTACCTGGACCTTGTCAATACCATTGATCAGGAGGCTGTATTTCGGTCGACACGCCATTTGCCAACTCGAAACTCGGCTGCCTGCGAGTTATGGTGTAAGTCGACTAAATTTCATAATAATACGTATTAGGTTAGTACTAGAGTTAGATAGTAGATGGTTAGTGTTGGAGTTAGTGGCTAGGGATAGTTAGGTTCAGGCAGCATTAATAGTAATCTGCAAACTGTCTGCATACTGTGGTGGAATGGTATAAGCTTGCTTCTACCTCGCCTCACGAAAGTAGCCTCGAGGGCGATGTGGGTTGCGAATTGCTATATTATGGTGATGAAGGACTGTGTTTTCCATCGTTAAGCACACATAGGCTGCCTGGATGCTGCCGCCGCATCCAGTCGAGATAGTATAATTCCGCACCACGACGTACCTGAACCACAAGGGCTCAACTGCTCCACTCTCCACAAGCCCCTGCCTTCCTAACCTCTCTACGTCTGACCTCGCTGGCACATCTGGTAAGCGGTCTCTAAGCTTCCTCGGTAACGTAGTCCCAAACCCACTGATACTGCAGCCGCCGAACGTCTAACCGGTTCGAGCACATTAGGGGAGGGGGTCGGGTTGGAATCCCCCAGCATCTCAAACGGGTTCCATCGTCTGAAGTTGACAAAAGTTGGTGTTGTGAATGAAGAGAAAAAGGGAGGACCAAAAGGCTCAGGCAGACTCTGGAGTGCTCAGGCAGTGATCGCTCAGGGAGCAGCAGGTGAGCCGAGGGTGAGCAAAGCGGCGAGCAGCCAGTAAGAAACGGACGACGAAGGACAGGTTTTTCGCATGAGAGAGCCTAGGTACGAGACGGAGAACCGGAATGTGCCACCGTCCACCCTCTTCCTCCCCCGCTGAGGGGACGAGGCTGCGCGGTGCCGCCGGGCTCATGCCGAGAATACATACACCAGGTATGGAGTATTTGAATACTCACTTCCCCCCTTCTTCGGCTTGCTCTTGAAAGTAAGCAATTCCTCTCACCTAGGTCATTCAATTTCCCTGTCATCAGAACGTCTTCCTGTCCGGTCATCCAACACTTGAACACCCATTGAAAATAGCACACCACAATGGTTGGCCGTCTCGAAGGAAAGATCGCCATAGTGACTGGTGGGGGTTCGGGCTTTGGCGCTGGCATTGCGACGAAATTCGTCCAGGAAGGCGCCAAAGTCCTGATTTGCGACCTGTCCGAGCAGAACGGCACCAAAGTGGCTCAATCGCTGGGCTGCGAATTCCTGGCCGCCGACGTCACGAAACGCTCGGACTGGGAAGCGCTGCTGAAAAAGGCCATCGATGACCTTGGTGGTCTGGACATCGTCGTCAACAACGCCGGCACGACTTATAGCAACAAGCCCACCGAGGCCGTCACGGACGCCGAGTTCGATTTGTGCTTCAACGTCAACGTCAAAAGCATCTACTTGTCGAGCAGTGTGCTGCTGCCGTATTTCATGGAGCAGAATCGACCTGGTTGCTTTATCCAGATTGCTTCCACGGCGGGCATCAGGCCGCGCCCTGGTTTGACATGGTACAACGCTTCAAAGGCTGCTGTGAGCAACGCCACAAAAACCATGGCGGTGGAATATGCGCCCAAAAAGATTCGCTTCAATGCAGTTTGTCCTGTGGTGGGCAGCACCGGACTGTGGGTCTCTCCGTCTTTTCTTTTTCTCTTTCTTTTACAACTCTGTGTGAACGTGCCTTCTCTCAACTGACTTTGGACTTGTATAGAACATCCCTTTTCCTCGGGAAGCCAGACACCGAAGAGAATCTAAAGGGCTTTGTATCGACTATTCCGCTCGGACGAGCAAGTACGCCTAAAGATGTGGCAAACGCATGCTGTTATCTTGCTAGCGACGAGGCCGAATTCATCACCGGCGTTAATCTGGAAGTGGACGGGGGGAGATGTGTGTAAAGGGTGGATATACTCACGTAGCTCCTATACGAAGAAAATCGGGCAGACGATAGAGAAGGCAGGACGAACTCAGAGCCTGTCGAATTGAAGAGTGTGTGGGAGCATTCCTTGGTATTAACGTCATCCCCACACTCATAGTGAGCATCGACGATGCCACCATTTCTGCTTGACAACCTCGCCGTAATAGAAGTTTTGCTTTATCTTGTTTTCTTTTCTGTCACCGTGCCATGGTCGTCATGGTGGTTGTAGGACCCCCCTTTCTCTCTCGGTAGCTAGATGAGAAGTTCCGAGTCACCCGACCCCAAATTACAACAGAAGACAGGACGGTATTGAGCGAGTGGCCTAGCCTGATCCACAGAACCATCCTCGTCAGCACATCCCCCAGTAGTAACGGTCTGTGTCTTGCCTTCCTTCAAGTCAAACACCAGCAAGACGCTTCGATCACGCCCTTCTGTGCATCGTCTTCTAAAAAGTATCAGGAGCACAAGTGATAGTCCCATGGGTCAAGGGTGGCACTCGGAATCCTAGAACATCGAGTCCAGTGTAAACATGCCGTTTTGGGAACAGGTTGTCTTTTGTTTTGTGAGTTGATTACGTGAAAAAGCCAAACGCTGTTGGGATGGGACGTCAAGGGCGTTTCGGGAAAGGAGGAAATGGTGGACAGGAAGGATGCGGGTGCCAGTCCATGGCAACTGCTAGATATCAAGGGATCCGCCGCTCGAGAAGGTACATTGTCAGCGGCAGAGCAGCCCGAGCATTGAGAACTGCTCGCACACAATCTCCTTTGTTGTCCTGTCAAAATAATCTAGGAAGCTCCTCCTGTGACTTCTTCGCCTCGTTCAAATTTCGACACCGAATCCGCTTTGGGCCCTCCGAAGAGGGGGATGTCGCAAAACTCCAGCTCAGGTATCTCAAAGAAGGGGGAGATTTGGTGGTGACGCAGGAAGACTCAAAAGTCCAGTGTTACAGACCGGGACCGCGGGCGAGAGGCAACACTTACCGTATTGAAATGAGGTTGTATCCACTCCGCAACGCAGCTGGCCACATGTCAAATCCGGGTGCTGAATATGACATGGGAGCGGCAGCGAGGAGCGAGGCTCGAGACCCATCGACAAGTCTCACGCTCTTGCCTGAGTGTGGTGGAGATCAAATCGAAACTGTAGTAAAATCATTGACTCGAGAGCTTCGACGAATAAACTGGAACGGCGTTGGTCTTCCGCGGGTACACGTTGGCAGGTAGGGTTGGGAGCAGAAATTATGCTTATGTTGAGACAGGTGCTTGCAACGAGTGATCGCCTTCCCCTATCGTCAAGACATCTGTGGGTGTTGCAGAACACCGCTAGATTCTGATCAGAAAACATCAAGGATGCATGGGAGACCGAATCCTGTCAATTCAACCAATGCCTGGTCTTCTGATCAAATGACAGCCTGATCCTGAGAAGCAAAGGCGAATCCAAGGTCCAATCAAGGAGGAGTTTTGAGTCATGGGATGGACAGGTTGACACGCTTCTCACCCTCTGGCCACCAGCTCTGCTGATTCCAGAATCGGAGCAGTCTTTCCAGAAGCGTGTTCGTGAGTTGTGATTCGTTTGTCTCGTACCGAATACATAGGCTCAGTCCAGACTATCGAATCTGTCGGAGAATTTCTGCACCAGTCATTGCCGTTGAGGCCCAAAAGATTTGCGCCCCTCCGACCGGCCCAGGCGGTCGACTCGGGTGTAACGGCGAAAGGGTGATTGAAAGCTCTGTCAAAGGCGTGGGCTACAGCGGGAGCTTACTTGTCGACCTGGCTGGTCGTCCGGATCGATGCTGATGTGAATGGTTGCTGCTGACTCCTGACTCCCCTGGGTCTGACGAATTCTGAGCCTGTGGGAACACATTGACCGCTTGCCGCCAAAGTGCTTCGCACATATGACGCAGGTACCAGAGCTGAGCGGGGGCAACCGTTCGCATCGCTTAGAGAAGATTGATTTCATGCCGATGCCGTTGCTCGGGTTGAGACTTGGAAAGAAGACCTTTTTTGCCTGTAGTGACGCGTCGATATGATGACATCGATTCCGTGTCAAGCTTGCTGATCTTCTCGTTGGGCAACCAGTGAAACGAGTGAGACGAAGCACGAAAGGGCTTTGAACGTGGAAATCAGACGTCTGATCTATTAGGATCCATCATTCCAATGGAAACAGAGCAAGCCATCCAAGGAAAAGGCGCCAGAGATATTTCGCATTTCCACAATCCCCAACATTTCGATGTGCTCCCGTATCCTGATCTTCCATGCTACGTATGCGTCCACTTCAGTAAGCGAGGTGGTCCAGCCATCTGTTTGACACGCGATAATTTCAAAACACCCCCGTCCGTCTTCTTCTTGGACGTGTGGGAATTGCTCTAAGGGGGGTTGAAGAGCGTGTTTTTGATCTATTCGCGGTGCATGGGCCTTTCGAAAACGTCGCCTTCCTGACAAGTGGGCGGCCCTAGGTAGAATGAGGACGGAGTAGTGCACCGACATAGGAGCACTTATGCACAGCTAAAGGACACAGTCACCAACCGTTTCCTTTCTTGACTCACTAGGCCATCGCTTTCATGCATAGGGAGGAGCTGTCAAACTACCCCGGCAAGTTCCAGCTTCAGACCACTGGAATTTGCTGTTGGAGATCCACGACTTGATAGCTGCTGGTTACCATTCCGAACTCCAGAATTTCGGTGGCTGCTGCCCCGGAACGCGGTGGAGACAGGACGTTGGTGCGGGCATGGCCCTCAGTGACTCCCTCAGCTCTCGGGGTGGTGTTGCAGCGAAGGATCAGGACCACTTTCAGTACCAAGACAGAAACAGTCATGTTCCCGTTTCTCCCCGGTCGTTGCCGTCAAGGGTCATTGATCTCTTTCCCAGAGCACGGCTCAACTTTGAATGTCCGAAACTCGATGCTCGGCAGGCCTCCAAGGTTTCGGCTTCAGGTGCGCGGGGGTGTTGGACTGCCCGGAGACTTGTCCCTATTAGCTTTCCTGGGCGCGTACCTGTTCTTTCGGCTGCTCCTCGAGGGCCTTCCTGGGATATCCAACTTATTTGCCCCTGCAATCTATAGCCCTTCCCATGGCCAGGTCACCGGGACTCCCTGTCAACCACGTTGAGAAAGCTTGAGAGACCTGCCAAAGAACTCTGCAGTACATACGTTCTCTTGTCATCATCCTGCGTGATCCCATACGTCAGCTGCCTCGACAATCTCTGCTCATCGTATTACACAGACTCGCGACCAACCGCTTCTGCCAGCTCTGGGCAAGAAACTAAGAAAAGTGAGTGGCCTGGTGCAGCCAGCCTGTATGATTTAGTCCGTAGTGCGGAATCTGTGACAGGTTCATGTTGCACAAAAGTCCCCTAGTAAGGGTAGCACGTGTGCGACGGGGGTATCTGGCTCATTGGCTTCTTGCTCCTCGCAGAAGCAGATGCTGGGATCAACCACCCCCAGAGAGTGCCTCGCCCAAACCTGGGCTGCAATTTTGCAAGGATGCTGCTCATGGATAGGCGCAGCTTGGAGTTCAGTTCATCATGGGGGGTCGATATCAGGTGTCAAAGCCACGCCAAAGCCAAAGCCAAAGCCAAAGCCAAAGCGTGCCCCCTACTTTGTACGGAGTACTTGTAGGTATAACTCACACGAGCCCTTGGCTTGTGCATCATTAGTCCACTCCCTGCCATTTGGAACTATTTCTCTCGTGGACGGACCGATTCCTCAGCTTGTCCGAGACGAGACTAGACGAACCGTTTTGCGCGTGCTGATTGTTATCATCCATATGAATAATCCGCGTTCGTGTAAAAGCTTGACGTACAAACCCTAGTATACATACCGGTACCGAGGATATTCGTGAGCAAATGTATACAGTATGTACCTCTGCTTTTTCGTCCTGGCTGGACCTGCGGTGGCGAAGGTGGCTCACACAACCACAAACCACAGACCACAACAGGGTCTTCGTGCTGGCAAGAATTTGCTGTTGATGCATTGCGGTACTAGCAAGCTGGCAGTTCTTAGCGGCCGAAACTCCAGTCGTAGCCGCTTTTCTTCTGCGCGGGATCCTTCCTGGTTCTCCAATCACGCGTTTCGTCCGGCCCACCCAACGGGGGATGATAACCGACCGGAGTGAAAGAAGGGGGTACAAAGTTCAGAGTAGGTTTTCCCCAAAGCGTTCATGGCGGCCATGCACCCTGCTCGCTGGGATGAGGGCGAGGGAACGTGCGCAATTTAGCCCGAGCACCAAAATCCCAGGCTAGCAACAAGTAGCGAGTACGAGTAGGATCGCCTAGAGCTAGGGAGAAGATAGGTAGACAGCAGAAACCTACTCACCCTCCCCTGAGTAGGAGTCTCTGCCAATAGCTGGTGCCGACGAGAGCAGGTTGTGAATAATGCCTCTCTAGTGCGCGTGCTGTCAAATTCATGCCGTGATATCTTGTCCGTAGCACAAGCGGGTTGGCAACAGTAAGCAATCACGCGCAATGAGGAGTATGAGGGGGGGGACCACCAACGGTGAACCTGACAACAATAGCTGGTGCTGGGAACTGGTAGGAGCAACAAACCGTCGGGGTGGGCCGGTGGGCATCGGGCCCGCTTCAAAGTCCCGAATGGAATGGCTAGGCACACCCCGAGGCAGGCCAAGGGAGGCCAGGGAGGCCCATGATTCTGACCTGTACTTACCAACTTGTACCGAGTACTTGTAAGTACTTACTTGTAGGTAGGTGGGCTGCCAGGCGTACGAGGGGTGGAGCAAGCCATGGGGAAGCCTAGGCTACACGCTACCAAGTAGAGGCCACAGGCTAGTGGGCTTGGGAAAAGCCAAAAGCACCAAAAGCACCATCCCAGGGCCACCGACAGGGCCACCCAGTAACAAGGAGGTGCCCACTGCCCAGGGCCAAAAGCCAGACAGGAGGCAGCGCTGGCCCGCTGGCCGCTTCGCCTACCATGCTGGTGCTGCTGCCGGCGCATGGTCCTGGCGTCTGGTGCTTGCCGGTGCCGCTTTTCCACATTTTCGCTGGTGCTGTGTCTTCCCTGGCTCCCCGGCTGCGACGTTCGCTGTACCCCATTTGCACCTCTTCTGATTGTCTTTCCCACCCTCCTCACAGCTCGTTCTGCTCTCTTCCTGCCCTCGCGGTCGCTCCCTTCAACGTCAGGGTAAATGCACATCGACCTCCTCTGATTTTGCCCTCCGTTGTCGTGCCTCGAAGTCTTCTCGCGTTAAGTCTTCTCCGTCCATTGGCGTTGGAGGGTCTTGGAGAAAAGGATATTCGTGTCTGTATCCGCTGCAAATCGTTCTCGAAGCGGTTCCGGCTCAATTTGCGACCGAGCATTGTCCCAGCCCTCCCGCTCCTCCAAAACCTTGCGTCTATCCATCGCATCCTCTCTCGAGGCAAACTCGCGTCCGCTCTCCCTCCACCAAGTCCAGTCCGGCGATCGACCATTATTGGCATAATTACAGAAACCAGCCCACGTCAACCAGGTCACCCACCACCTTATCTTGGGGCGAAGAGACTGAGAATATTTTTGGATTCAACGGCGCAGCAATAATCGGGAAACTTAGGCTTCTAGTTGCCTAAATTCTCCAGGATCCAGATTGTGAGCGCGTCTGAGCCGGACACGACGTTGGCTTGACCTCTTGGTCGATCCAGAGAAGCATTCAGACTCCGGCGTCCTTGCAGTCCAGCAATCGCACAACCAGTAAGGTGATCGAGTCGTGGGATAGTTTGGTTGCAGTCAAAGCAAGGTGGAGGTTTTGATTCTGGTCAGTACTTTCCCCGTCGTCTTTCTTTGTGCTCTTGCTCGCCGGGGTAGTTGATCGGCCGCGGGTTTTTGAGGGTCTACCGAATGTATCTGGATTTACCAGAAGGCAGGAGAGCCTTGTGAAGGATGGTCGGACTTGAACTTGCCATTTGGGCGAGGTTGAGTTCCAATCTACCTCTTGATGCATCGCCCGCCCTTCAGAACCGTGGAGACGCTCCGCATTGTCTACATCTATTTTGTATTCTTCTTGCTCTTAGAATCCATCCTATCTCCATAGCATGGCTTCCAATCCTGATCGGGAAATCACTGACACCGCCGATATGGATAGTGACCGGGTTCATCAACGACAACCACAGGCTGACACATCAGCAAGTCGCCGAGATTCGGGCCAACAGCTGCCGGGACTCAAGGACTGCTTGGGACAGGAAATCAGTGCTCAACGACCTCTTCTTCCTCAGCCACGTCCTGCCGTGCCGGAATTCTTTGTACCAGGAGTTTCGGTGCTCTACCTCGACGGTCTACCCATTCGAACTTATCTGATTGGCGGCATAATATACAATATGCAGCAGCCACCCAATGAGACGAAGAGTACTGTCAGTCGATTCACGATTGACAGGAGGTGCATCAGATATTCGCTAGAGGTTGTGCAGCAGCCCGAAAAAGCGCGAGCCTGTGGATCTGGCCCCAGATGTACGTTAAATGCAAAGCCTTGAGGATTTCAACTGACAAGTAACAGCTTCTAACGACCGAAGACCCGTGGACCCACCTCCCGTGGTCGAGCTCAAGGTGTTTACAAACGATGTCGACACCACGATGCAATATGACGCGACATTCATGCTCTACGCCAGTTTAGAAGTTGCCCGGCCTATAGCAGGGGGTAAAATGCACATACCTCCCGCCATACCGGTATTGGCCGGCGTCACCATAGCGAGTGCTGCCTATCTTGAGAAACCAAAACGAGCCGCCTATTTCATCTTCCCAGACCTCTCGGTGAGACACGAAGGCTGGTACCGTCTCAGATTCTCGCTCTTCGAAGGTGTGAAACACGATATGGATGCCGATCACGGGAAGCCGTTTGTCCGGACCCAATCAGATGGGGATAATTTGACCGCGCCTGTTCGTCACGAAGGCGTCTTCAATCGCATGGAGGTGCTGTCAACACCGTTCCAGGTATACAGTGCCAAGAAGTTCCCAGGGCTCAATCAAAGCACAGCTCTGAGTATGATGGTGGCCGACCAGGGTTGCCGAGTTCGCATTCGTAGAGATGTGCGACAAAGAAAGCGACGCCAGAAATCTGGGGCCGATGGCGACGATGCGCCGAGTTCTTACCAAGGTACCCCCCAGGCAACCTATCGCAACCTAGACCACTCCAGATCCGCCAGCCGCAATAGCATGGCCAGTCAACTCGAGGAGCCGCCAAGACGAATTTCGCTGGATAAATCTCCACGACCTCCAAGATGCTGCACTTCTGCGACGCCATGAAGCCGCGATGGCGGCGTCTAACTCCATGGCATCTAACCCTATGCTACCTCTACCGACGACGTCGATGCCTCCCCCGTCTGCATATGGCCAGTCTCCCTTGCGCAGACCGTCATTCGACACTCGGCCCAAGCCAACATTCGCTATGCCGACTCCCCGACCTGCGCAGCCTGCCGCACCTCTACCGAACCAACCATCTCTCCAAAGACCCATGACTCCAGATACCGAGAAAAGTCTCACTCTGCCACCGCTCAGACTCTTCGGAGCGAGTGGGCAGAAACTTGATCCACTGGTCCCCAGATATAATATGCCAGCACCCACTGCAACGAAGAGGTCCTTCAGCCCTGGGTCTTACAATCAAAACACGTCCTTAAAAGACGGAGCTCGACCTGGACTGCCTCCTGCGCGTTGTCCGCCACCTCCTCCGCCGAGCGGTAACGATATTATCGAACCAGACGTCGGTGGTGATGATGATGACGACGAAGAGGCAGAATTGTTCGCAGATGCATTGATTTACACCCGTGCCGATGGTACAAAAAGCTACAGATATCGCCCAGGGGCCAGTTATTTTCGGTAACGGAGAGCATCAGCGATAACCACAAGCCCCTGCAGCCCCCCGCTCCATCTCTCTGTCTGTGCCGTAATGTACTTGGAGTGGCATTTTCTGACTGATTTTCATTCAAATGCACACGGGTAGTCAGGACACACAGGACACTAGGGTATGGCGTCATTCGATTTCCACAGTAAAAAGACCGGTGAGAAGCCCTTTATGCATCACCATTGCTCTCTTGGTTGCCATTGCTTCTGCACCAGACACGTCCCTTGCGGAATTTGTTTTCTTTTGCATTATCTTCTGGTGGAAGAAGAGCGGCAGAGGTGCACGGAGTGGAAACACATCAATCAAAGTGGTCTGAGTCGATAGGAGTTGAAAGCGGACGGGATGTCGTCCCAGATACAAGACTGAAGGACGTCACAGTGATCGCAGAACGAGATTGACACTAGGTACACTCGAGTGTCAGCGCGTCGCATCCTGCCATCGGGGTCGTTGGTTTTGGACCAGACTGAGGGGAACCAGGCTGGGGAGCGTTTTGTTTTGGGGTCTCGAAATATTGGAGAAAATTGGGGGATGCCATATTTTTACCGTTCTGGATATGGACAAGCTGGATTGGCCATGATGGTCCACAGGAAAATGCCCCCAGCGTTTCCCATCTGGTGTAGCTGAACAGAAGCAAACTTTGGCACTTTTGCTCACAATCATATCTGGCTCGATCATATCTGGCTCGATATTGCATCCTCTTTTCTGTACGTCTTTTTGTAGGTTTTGTTTCTCGGTTCTTTTTCTCTACAAGAGCCCGGAACTATTCCTAAATTTCGAAGTCCTCGCAGCTCAGCCAATTTGGAAATCCATCTAAACCCTTACTCTTAGACATGCTCACCCATCTTTACCGCACTCAATATCCTCTGCTACCTTTGCATACTCAGCTAGATCCTGATTCCTCTTTGCCGCATACTCCTTGAGCTTCATGCTCTGGAACTCGCGATTGCGTTCGTAGACCATCGCCGTTACCCCAGCCACCAGGCGCTGAGCCGACCGGGACCTGCCTATCATTATGGGCCTCTCCATCGATTGAGTAATTGAATGCTTGCATCCATAAGCGCACCGGCGTCCCACAGTCGCGGTAGCGCGCTATAATCATCGGCATGTGCTGGAAGATTTTGCTCATCTCCTCGAATCCGAACTTGCTTATGCTGATGGCCACGACGTGAATTCGTGCTGGAAGCACGTCTTGCTTGACAGCATAGGAAGTCGCATTCTCTATGTCCTTTTCAACCTCTTCTTTGGATTTGTCACGATTGAACTTGGCTTTCACACTTCGTCTCGATGATCGTGGTGCCTATCCTCTCGAGAGGAATCCCTCTCCGGTACCGAACGATCGTGAAATCGGCTTGCTTTTCTCTTTTGTCACCGGGTTTCTTTTGGTAGACGGCCTGTTCGCGCGAGACCTGGTCGACGAAATTCTGGGTTTTATGGTAGTGAAGGAGCTGTTCGGTGTGGTGTTCATCAAGAACCTGAGCGATCTCAGCTTGCATCCAGGATTCCCACCCGCCTTTGGTATTGTACTTTTCGATGATTTCATCCGCCTTCGAGGCCGCCCACTGGTGGATGACGGGCCAAATTTCAGATTCTTGGTATCTAATTCTCGTTCGGTCATGTTAACCTGGTTGGCTCGCCTGGATGGACGAGAAAGGAGCATCTGAAAGAGGGGGAAGTGTCGCGAGGCCTAAGCATTGGTGAAGTGCGGGTCGAGAACCACGATCCAAGGCAACATCATGCCGATATCCCATTGGTGGTGTAAATTTGGGCACCAAGATGGAACGATTGTCCCTCAGGGACTGGCTGGAATTTTCGATCCGACCGGGTACAACGAAAGAAGTCGCTCAGATAATAGGGCCTTGCTCCTGAAGCTGGGCGTCAGAAGTGATAAGAGCCCGCGGTTACCATCAGCAGAACTTGTCAAATACGAGGAGTTGCATCTTCTCAAAGGCGCCCGGTGTAACACGTAGTACCGTAGCGGCAATCTAGTTCTGCTTCCCTGTCGATCAGCAGGATAATGTTAAATACGGTTTATCCTGCAAATACTGGGAACCTTCATAGGAGCAAGGAGTCCCGCACTAGGTAGGTATGCAAGGACCCCTGGTTTTGGGTAGGATGTTCTTGAAGGGAATGAAAGAGGATTTTTGGGCCGGGAATCAAATGTGATGGCGATGGAATCGGGCTTTCATTGAGCGATGCTTGGGTGCTTACACATTTGGGAGGGTGAGCCTTACCTTGCCTTGTCCTGCCTTGCTTTGCGTTCAATGAAGGAGAAGCTTTATTGCGGGAAGAGACAGGGAGGGTGGGTATGGGCCAACCCTACACGCCATCCTTATTTGTTTGGGCATTGCCTTCTTCCTCATTCTCCTATTCCTACGCCCCCCTTACAAGGGGTGGGTTGACAGAAGGAAGGAAGGCGGGAAGGAGGGAAGAAAGCAACGGGGCTGGGTTCGAACAATGAGCAAACAAAATCTGAAGGTGGCAGATGGGTTGAGCAAGAGAATACCAGTGATACGATAACATACTAAGTTGAGAGCAGAGTCAAATGTCGCTCCCTCCCCATTTCCCTGCTATAGCAGTACAATTCCTATTGCGGTAACTAAGAAGCCGTGTGGGAATCGCATTGCTGGAAACGGGAAGGATTTTGTTTGGCGGAATGTTGCCCTTTGTGGGACAGATCTGCGTGCCTGGGCGACTAGTCAATCTAATCAGTATTTCCAGTCAAGAGAGTTTGATGTGGTGGTGGTGGTGGTGGTGGTGGTGGTGGTATTTACTTGGTACTTCGTAAGCTTACCAGTCCTGGGAATCCACATTTACCACCGTATACGAGGACCACGAAGGAATACCTAAGTATGCGCTGGAGTAGGCTCCAATTGCAAACACATGTAGGGTAGGAATCATCGAGATTCTTTTTTTTCTTTTTAATTGTCGAGCCAAAGCAGGCCACGTGTAGAGGCAATATGTGTTGCCTGTGTTCGAGAGTTGTCCACGGCTTTAACAATTCGCGGTTTGAGGTGAAAGAGAAGGTGACACCGTCTTCGTGGGCTCTTGGTCACGCAAGAAGCGGTGACCCATAGCATCCGTGAGTGGCATGGTTACAGCTCAATATTGACCTCGACCATGTACACCTCCTGGTTGCCCCTCAATATGTTCCTATAGTACCAAGTCCCGTATTCGGTCTCAGGAAACACGCAAGACGTGTCGATCTTTGTTGGTGCGATGGTCAGATTGGCAACGTGTCCGTCTTCTTCCAACCGGAAAGTCACCTTGCAGAGATCAGTGACGAGACGCAGGAGACTGGTATCATTACGGAGCGCTGCATCTAGCAGTCTCGCGTCTTGCGAGCCCTTCGCCGCTATGAGAGCCTGTAAGCCAATGAGCCGACCGCACTTGCCTGCCGAGAACGTCATGTTGAGGATCGATTTAGGCGCTTTCCCACCGACTCGGATGTTGACGTCCAGAGTGATGTTCCCAGGGCTTCGGAGAATGATGTCTCTGTTCCGGTGATCGGACACGCGGGGGATAGGGTGGTTAGGGACGTAGTTCTCGGGCTCAGTTGACAGCCACAGATGTTGCTTGGACCGCGTCAGAGTTTCGCTCATATTGTCGACTTCTTTCTCGTTCGTCTCAAGGTGTACGTGCCCGGGGTTGACATGCCCATTTTCACGAGACTGATCTGAATCCTTTATAGAGGTCCTCTCCGAACTGGGAGCCTGATCATCTGAAGGGGCCTCCAACACACTGACATCATTCAAAGTGAGCGCTGGCTCAGCGGTGAGCAGATCTTCAGGTACCATTCTGGCGAACGCGGGGCTGACGAACCTTGGCCACTTAGTCAGAATCCTTTGTTGAAAGCTACCGTAGTTTCTGACCTCTGCAAAGGCGCTCGATACTCGACCGAAGTACTTGGGTGGCATAGACTGATGTTCGAACGATACTGGTGGATCTTCGGTGGCGTTGATGCTAGGAGGGTAGGAATTATATGACCTGCAGGGACAACCCTGACGCGAGAAGCCCTCATAGTGAAGACGTAGGCAGTTGTATGTGAAAAGGTCTTTTCAGGTCTTTGTATGAATTCAACTTTCATGCTCGAGGTGTTCAAGCTGTATGAGTTTTCAGTGAACACCGGCTCGAGTCACTTTCTTGCTGTGACAATAGACTCTCGAAGCATCGTGACCCATGAAAGGCACTGTAGGCAGCCATTCACCTCATCGTTGCCCTGTCCTTAATCAAGGGGACTATGCAAAGATAAGAATCAGGCCGTTTATGCAGCTAAAAAAAAAAGGCAGAAGACATACCTGTGTAGTGGTTTCATGCCTTTCTTACCATTTCTCACATCCATTGATCCTTGAGAGAGGTCCAAATTCCTAAGGAGTCCTTCGAGCCTTTCTTTCGGGCTCGGCGCTGGACGCTGCGGTATGCCTGACTCTTCCCTCGTTTCGCTTTCTCGTGAAGCGGTTCTTTTTTTTTTTTTTTTTTTTTTTTTTTTTTTTTTTTTTTTACAGAGGCCACACACATCTTAAAATGCAAGCTTGAATTCTCCACTAATCTTTGCCTCTCGAAAGTCACAACGCACGACATGTATATTGCAGATTGCAGAGTGTTCAGATCTGCTGTGGTGGATACATGGTGTCTTGGAGTCTGCCGGATGCACGGAGTATTCTCCGGGCCATTAACGCCGAATGAGAGAATGCATCCTTGTAGAGGCCATATTAATATCGGGAATTTGGCAAAAAGTGATCTTGCGGCTGTTAATGTACAGGCGCACCGCTCTGCAAGCCTTGGGCAGATCCAATATTTGTTCTCACCCTTGGTCAACCTCAGTGGCAATAATGGTTCGTGGCTGGAGAGCTCTATTACGCCCAGCCGGGTTAACTGGTAGAAACAAACAGCAGGGTCTTGGTATCAGGGAAGATGAGTCGGTGAGGCAGTACCGTAATGCGAGAGCCGAGAGCTGAGAGCTGAGAGCTGGGAGCTGGGAGCTGGGAGCGGGCGGCGATGGAAGAGATTAGTGAGATGCAAGCAGCTCAAGAAGCTCTAGGTGGCAGCTTAGCGTCCTGCTCTTTAATCCTGCACCGGAAATCCATGACCGTATACATGTGATTGGTCAATATTGGGCGTGAAGCTGCCAGTGCCCAGCTGCGCTAAACCATATAGGGGACTAATCGCTATGGTGATACCGAAAGTAGACTAGCGACAGACCTGAAAGCTCCTCAAACTTCGTCAACTTGCTCAACAAGATGCCATGGCTTCTTAAACGCCACCGACTTTGTGCCATCGGTTTTGCCATCATCACGAGGGCACTTGATTCTCAAAAACCCTGCGAAACCAAGATGCCCACAAAATCCATCATGAGACGTAAGAATTAGCTCACGATGGCACCATATTCGCGCCAACTTGCCCGATTCAAGACATCATGCTAGTATCGGCTGCGCTCAATCGCCGATTAACCCCGGAACTCTTCTCCAGGTCCAGGCACATCGAGCCTTGACGGCCGACTCGCGAACCAATCACTTTGGATTTTTCACTACCGGCATCGACTGCGAAGAGCTGCAGGCGGCTGTGACATCGAAAGACCAGAGTCGGCCCATCAACTATCTGGATTATGCATCTGGATCTTATTTCCGGTAAGAATACAGTACGTACGACTACTATTTACCATCATATCTGTCTCATCGGCCAGTCTTTCCTTTCCTAGACATTTGGTTCTCCTGACAGCCTCCTCGTCAGAACATATTAATTTTGGGTTCTTTCCTAGTTGCAGGTTTAAAATGTCAGTGTCACCGACTCGACTTCCAGCCACTATCTCGATGGGTCCACCGATCCATCAAGGCAAGCCATGCCAACAACCTGGTTCTCAGGCTCCCAGCGCTGTTCTACGGCCTATTCTCCCACGCATGCACAACTTGAACTTTTCGAGTCCGTCCCTTCAAGTTCGAGGGGGAGTCACAGCTGAACGACATGGGAAACGAAGTCGCACAAACGTCACCATTGCTTGCGATGGATGTAAACATGCGCGAGCAAAATGCGACGGCAAACAACCCTGCTTAAGGTGTACGAGGAAATCAGCAGATTGCAGATACGATTATGGAAACGATCATCGTCAAAATCGAGGATCCAGCGAGGTCATACAAGCGTTGACAGCGCGGCTTGGTCGATACCAGCGCTTTGTCAACCTCCTTTGCTGTTCTTCCGCTAAGAACGCCGAGCATATCCTCCATCGTTTGAGGTCGACGACATCTACGGAAGTACAAGTAGTGGTGACGGAAGACCCCAAACCTCCGACCACCACCCATAGGGCCTTTGCGGCGCCAATCCAATTCTTCATGGAGAACGAGCAGGATCCGCTCACGGCCACGAGTTTGGAGGAAATATCTGCCTTGGTGCAGTGGATTGTGCATGACTTGGACCATCTTCTTGTGCGGCAGCGAGCATCTCCGTCTCCTCCTCTCCCCAGAGAACAGTCTCTTCCGGACCAGCATGGCTGCGAAATTGCTGGTTTGCGTGGTAACACTGCTGCCAAGACCGGCCTGACTGTACAAGGGTTCCTGTGTTGAGAGAAAAATAGAAGGCTGGGTCCCGTTCCTGGCGTGCCACGGCAAGTCCCGGAGCTTCAATTTCAAGGTGGTTCGAGCAGACTGAATGCATTAACAAGTAGACATTTGCGACAAGGGTGTCAACCAAAACGCTCTAATTGGTACGCGTCAAGACAGTATGTATCGTTCGAGCGATTCAGCGCGGATTTTAAACTTTTGGCAACTTGGGAATTCAAGCTGTTCGGTGGTCGTTGCACTGATTTTGGGTGCACCCACGCGCGATGGAGTGAGTCTTGTTGCTGGCTGAAGGGCTTTTCCCCCTGGGGTTAAGGAAGGGGACGCCTTCGCTTCCCAAGGCCTTGCCACTGTGGCGGCGGCCCCATCTAGCACACTCAGAATAATCATCTGGTCATGCGGGAATTTACCATTTGACTGGCAGCAGTGATCAGTGATCAGCACGGCACAAAAATGCCAAAAGTCCCATTTGCACCGGACCGGAGATTCTTTGATCCAATCCATAACTGCCAGAATCGACAAAAGAAGAGACCAAAACAAGAGAACGAAGCTCGTATTGCTTGTTATTATCTAGTCTCTCGGGCGGACATCGCAAAGGGAAGATACCATGGTACCCTCACATGGAAATCACACCATATTCAATACCACCCATCGCTAAGCTCGTTTTCCCAAGCTGTCTTGCTTCCGCCGCTTGTCTCCGTCTGGAACCCTTTCCCCCCTCACCGTCCAATGCCACATTCAGGGAGGTACCTACTAAGTATTGTTTTTCCATGGCCCTTTACCTCGGTGGCGGGTCCCAGGCACGCGACCGAGGCCAGAACCAGGGTCTGCCCTCGTTTCTTCTTTCTCAAGGCTAAGCCTTTCCTTCAACACTGTTGCTCATCACGCCACTAGATCCGTTGCTATTGGTCCTAGTAAGCCTCTTCTTGCTGACGAGTTGAAGTCCGCCAACCAACATTATCAACAATTCGGCACCAAGGATGACGCCCAATGTGACCATCGCGCCTATCACGCCAGCCACAGCCTTGCTGATTCCGGAGTGATGGTCTGATGAGCTCGAGCTCGAGGCACTGTCCGCACCAGAGCCATCCTCGCCCAGTACGCTGGGGCTGCACACGCCAGTGGAGTTGCCGCAGGCTCTGCACCACTGGGATTGAGAGCCGATGGCGAACTTGTTCGACGAAGCGACGAATTCAGACCAGGGGATGGGAGAGCGGCCGGTGCCGAACAGGGGGAATTCGACGGGCTCGCTGATGTTCGAGGTGGTGCCATTGTGGAAGTAGAAGCGCACGCTGATGTCGTCGGCCGAGGGGTAGGCAGCGCCGCTCTCGACCGTCGCGTTCGTCACGAGCTCCCACACAAGGCTAGAGGCATAGTCGGGAACGCCGTAGAAGTTGGGGTTGGCCATGGTCAGGTTGGCAAGGCCGAAGTAGGACATCATCCCGGCATACGCGCCGAACTGAATGTTGAACACGTTCTTGCCCTTGCCGGTGATGGTGCTGTTGAGGGCCTCGACGACCTGAGCACCCATGATTGCCCCGGTTACGGCACGGATAGGCTCACTCTCGTTGTACGCGAGACCCCATTCGTGTTGATCAGCCAGGGTACGCAGCTGAAAGAGATCGGCATCGTCGGGGAGCGGGATGCTTGCGTTGTGGATGCTGGCTACGTTGAGCAGGTCGAAGATGGTGTAAGCATTCTTGAAGCTGCTCTGGGCTTCGGTGAAAGTCCGATTAACGAAGGGATACATATCCGTGTAGAAGCCCTTTGTGCGTTCCAAAGTGTCCTTGTATTGGCTGCTCTGGAAGTAGTTGTTGGAGCTGATCTGAGCACTATATGTGAAAAACACACATACAAAGGTTAACATCCGTTGTTTTCTTCGAGACTAATCAGGGGTTTCCTATGAATTGGGCCAGGTAGGGGGTATCTTTCCCATGGATCTTTGGAAATAGACGCGAAATCACGACGAGAAGAAAAAAAGGTACGAAAACTCACTTGGCGCAGTTCGTCGAGCCTTGCAGCCAGGCAGAGTTTTCGCTGTTAGCGCCATTCTGCACAGTCTGCAATGGGATAAGTTGGAAGCCATTCAACGGAGTTTGGACGACGGTGCCGTTGCGGAGGGTTTGGCTGCCCAGAGTCTCGCCGACGGGTGGGTAGAGGCCCTGGAGGAAGCCCATGGCGGAGGGCATGAGGACATTGTCGGCCGGTGCAGAGGCAGTGATCTGAGACAGCTTGACCAGGTCAGGCTCGATGCCGAAGATGCGACGGCCGGCATCGCTAGCAATGTAGCGGTTGCGATAGTAGGTACCGGAAGTGAAGACTTCCTGTCACATTTTGTTATTTTTCCGCTCCATCTCTGTTCTAAAACAATCACGAGTCATCACACAAGGGGCAGGGGAGGGGAGGGACAGGGTTATCAGCGTACTTCGTAGCCAAGGTCCGTGAGACTAGATGGCGGGGTGGACTTTGCAGTTCTATCCCCGTGTCTGGAGAAGAGGTAGACGCCGAGGACAGTCTCGGCAGCAGCAGTCGAGCACGACGCCAACGAGGCGAGGAGAAGAGCTGAGCTGCGCATGGTGGCAGGGGCTGTGGTGCGTGATAATCAATAGTTGTGAGCAAACAGATCTTTCAAAAGCTCCGCAATACAACACCACATTCCCGCTCGGAGAACCCGATTTGAAGGCAAAAAATGTAGAAAGCACAGAGAACTATACCTTTGGCTAGTAGCGAACACCTCGGAATTCACACAAGGACAGCGTCGTCAAGATCAACCGTGGGCTTCAAGGCTGAGGAGGGTAAGGGAGGAGGATTCAAAGAAAGGAGGGGTCGGGAGCTCCTACCGTATAAGTACATCGTCAGCGAGAGCGAGGAGGAGCTCTTATCGCTTAGCCAGCGCTCGCACGACGGGCCTCGCACGAACATGTGCGGAAAAAGCAGCAGAGAAGAAAAGTTTACCCCGCGGAAATTCAGACATCGCCGTCGGACATGGCCGGGCCATCCTTAGTTCTTCTCAGCTTCGCGATGCGACGTCGATAATCAAATGATCAAGAGACGGAGAAACGAAGGGCCACTCCAAATGTTCTGGCGGCACATTGTTACCCAAGCCAGACTCTGTCCGAACCAATGACAGTGCCAACAACAGGTGAACTCTGAGCTTCGTCAAGACCCTGAAGGTATAGGCAAGGCAAGTCACTCAAGCTGTGGCAGGCGAGCAGGGTTTGTCATAACCGAAGTGGGTAGCCCACCACCTTTGAAGCCAATCCGGAAGCTTCAGTTGCTTGAACTCTGCTAGCCCAGAGGAACCAGAGGCTCGCTCGGCTGACGATGCAGATGCGATGCATCCGGAGCATCAAGCCCATTGGCGGGATTGGGGGAGCAGTAATTGTTCTCAAGCTCATAATTTGGTCGGACCTTTGGACAATCGGTGCGTGGCTAAGACAAACAGATGAAAGAGAAAGCCACGAGAATTCTGCCCATTGATCGATAGTCGAGAATATTTGAACAGACCAAGAGAGATAAGGCAAGCGAGGATGGATGATCATAGGAAAGCTGAGTGGGGGGGAAGAAAGAGCAAAAATACTCAAAAAAACAAAAAAAAACAAAGAGCAGAATGGAGACGGCGGAAGAGTCGGGGGCAGCCAGGGGTTAATATTGACCCCCTCTTTGACCTAGAGAGCTAGGTACCACCCACCTAACCTCAAAGAGGTTCAGGCTTCGGGGCAATGAATTGCCCTCGTCCATTGGAAGTTCACCAGAGGGCACAAATATAGGTGAAGTGCCACTGAATGCCGCCATTCCAGCCTCGCCGCCATTTCCCAACTTCCTTTGTACATTCTTTGCCATGGGCAAGATTAGGCCAAGCTTGAATTGATACTTTCATGCCAGTGTGTTGCAAAGTGTAAGCTAGGAGAGGATGCCCTTCGGCACACCGCTGCAATGATTCTTCATAGTGGATGATCTCATGACCAGAGGCTCGAGCGTCTGCCACAGCCTTCAGGGTCCATTGTGAGAACAAACGAGTAGGTAAAGACGTGGAGCTCTAGCGCGAATCCGGCCTTGCCAGTGTGAATGCTTCTTCGTTACTAGCGGTCGGTGCTGGTATATATATGCTCATGTCCATGGAGTTGGCAGCAGAACATTCGGTAAGAGCTAGGGTGGTGCAACTTGCTGACCGAAGGTTGGCCACGGGGGGAGAAGTGTCTGCGGGAGGCGCAAGAATTAGTTGATTACAAGCATCAGACCGGCAGCAAGTGCCTCCACGGTACTGGGTACTCCCCCATACTCGCGGAGAGCAAAAGTGATTGCCATTGCCGATGTCTCGGGGGAATGAGGAGCAAATGGGTTCCGAGACGGCAAGCGATCTCGGAGGCCCCCAAATTAGCAAATTGGTTATCCTCCACCGCTCTCGAACCCAGGCTTTCGAGACCGTCTCGGAGATTCGACTTTATTTACGCGTTTGTCGTTCTCTGGAGTCTCTTTTGTTGTTTGTGCAACTCCCTTTCAGATGAAGAGAAGGAGCTGGTGCCTCGTAATCAAAATGCAGGGCGTTTTGAGAGTGCTCCGCCAAGTTTTGAGCCCATCACAGTCGCGAATATTTCACAGCTTGCAACCGTCTTCTTCAAGACAGCTTCCGCGATGGATGTCTCGACCCCAGAGGCGAAAGCTACACCAACATCGAACAGCGACGACCTCTTCACTGAAGACCGTTAACCACAATTTTGAAGTGATTGACCATCAATATGACGCTGTTGTAGTCGGTGCAGGGGTAAGTAGCCTTACTTCACCGCTGGGCGTCGTTGTATTGGGCGAATCGATGTTCCTATTTCAATCGTCGGCTCTTGAATCGTGTCCTGCTAGATGCTGTATTTTCTTCCCCTTTGGCCAGTTTGCTGATGAAGAATTGAGGAGTAACAGGGCGCGGGACTTCGCGCCGCCGTTGGTCTCGTTGAGAGCGGACTTGATACGGCCGTTGTGACCAAGTTGTTCCCAACTCGGTCTCATACAGTTGCTGCCCAGGGGGGAATAAATGCTGCGCTGGCGAAGTAAGTGAAGTTCTCGAGGGCTGTACAAAGGGCTCCACTGACGGCTTGAAAGCATGCACGAGGATGACTGGAGATGGGTAGGTCGGAAAGACGGGCGTTCTTTCCCAGCACATCAGTATGTCCGAGGCAGATGCTGATGATTTCCTTTGCACGCTTTCAGCACATGTACGATACAGTAAGTCGACCACCGAACCTGTATGAGTGATACAAAATAATCTTCACGACACTTGTCGATCTTCACATGGATTCTCCTGAGTAACAAGATTCAGGTCAAAGGATCAGATTGGCTTGGAGATCAAGATGCAATCCATTATATGTGCCGCGAAGCCCCAAGAGCTGTGCGAGAACTCGAAGAATACGGAATGCCGTTCAGCCGCACCGAACAGGGCACCATTTATCAACGACCTCTGGGAGGACAAAGCCTGAACTTTGGCACAGGGGGTCAGGCCCATCGGACCGCATGTGTGGCTGATCGGACCGGCCATTCTATGCTGCATACGTTGTATGGCCAGGCCCTCAAGCATAACTGCCAATTTCATATTGAGTGGTTTGCACTTGATCTTATGATGAATGGCAAGGACTGTATCGGACTGACAGCGCTTGACATGGAAACGGGAACTTTCCATCGCGTTTTTGCCAGGAACACGATCCTCGCCACGGGAGGCTATGGCCGCTGTTACTTCAGTGCGACTTCAGCACATACCTCAACTGGAGATGGCCTAGCAATGGCTGCAAGAGCAGGTCTTCCTCTGCAGGATATGGAATTTGTACAGTTTCACCCTAGCGGCATTTATGGCGCTGGGGTGCTGATTTCGGAAGGTGCCAGAGGAGAAGGGGGCTATCTGCTCAACGGCGAGGGAGAACGTTTCATGGAACGTTATGCTCCAACAGCCAAAGACTTGGCAAGTCGTGATGTCGTCAGTCGGAGTATGAACATGGAGATCAGGGAGGGACGCGGATGTGGTCCAGACAAGGACCATATATTCCTCCAGCTGTCGCACCTACCAAAAGAGATACTTATGGAAAGGCTGCCGGGAATTGCTGAGACTGCCAGTATCTTCTCAGGTGTGGATGTCACGAAGCAGCCGATCCCTGTTCTACCAACCGTGTAAGTCTTCCTCCAAATGCTTAAGTGATGCGAACTAACCGTGTGCCTTCTTCGGCCAAAGACACTACTGCATGGGGGGGATACCTACAAACTGGAAGGGCCAGGTGTTAGACGTCGATCCAAGCACTGGAGAAGAGACGGTTGTGAGAGGACTATATGCTGCTGGAGAGGTTGCTTGTGTCTCTGTACACGGCGCCAACCGCCTGGGAGCAAACAGCTTGTTAGATATTGTTGTTTTTGGTCGAGCTGCTGCCGGGCACATCGCTGAAAACAATGAGAAAGGAATGCCGTTCTTTAGAGATGGAGGAAGTGTCTCACCAGAAACTGGAGTCGAGGGTTTCGTTGACCTGGAACATCTTCGAAATGCAAATGGAAAAAAACTGACGTCCGAACTCCGAGCAGAAATGCAAAAAAACATGCAGAACGATATCGCAGTCTTTCGAACCGAGGAGAGTTTGACGGCGGGCCTGAGAAATCTCCAACAAGTGGAACAGGACTTCAATGCGGACGTGTGCGTGAAAGACAGGAGTCTGATCTGGAACTCAGATCTCGTGGAAACATTGGAGCTCCGCAACCTTCTGACATGTGCTGCACAAACAGCCAAGAGTGCCCTTGAGAGAAAAGAGTCACGCGGCTCCCATGCTCGCGAGGATTTCCCAGAAAGAGACGATCAAAAGTTCATGCGCCATTCCCTGAGCTGGCAGAAGGATGTGGGCGAAGACATTGCCATTGGCTACCGCGATGTGATCTTTTCCACGCTTGATGAGAAGGAATGCCAGACTGTGCCGCCGAAGAAGAGATCATATTGAGCGGATGATTAGCGACTGGGATCATGGCTGTGTATAGTTTACTTGTGGTTTAATAAGAGAAAGGGCAAAAAGCGATAGAAAACCGCACGTCCCGGATTGCGCTTCGATGATTTCTGCTCCGCTGCTACGGCCGGCCATTCATGTCTGAGCCGAACTTGATTTTCGAGAACAAATATCAATCGGATCAATTCAGCTCTGTCCCATGAAATGCGCGTCCCACTGATGTAACAAACCGCCGCCCTCCGCCCGCTGCCAGTCTCTGTATTTCCAACCTCTAGGCTCTCTCCATGTCTGCCAGAACCTCAAGCTCGGGTCGCATCATCAGTGACCTCCTGCGAACTTCCAGAGCTAGCCCATCATGCGACCACCTTCGCTTCCGGCAAGCATTCTGCAAAACCCCCCGGCAGTCACGCCATGTGTCTACGGCAGCTCCTCAACTTTCTGAGATGGAGGTTGATGCGGACAGGCCTCCACGTTGGTCCCAAACGCCTCCAGCACTGAAGGCCCCCGTGCGCGTGCGTCCACCACGGATACAAACACCTCTCAAAATCAACAAGGATCAACGCAAGCTAGATGATTTCTATGTAAGGTTTTTAGGAAGAGATGGAGACAAAATGCTGTCAGAAGAAACCAAATGGCTTGCTGTCACGAACAAGAGCTTTGACGCTGGAAGGAGAGGGTTCAATGACCGGCTTGCATTTTTCGGTACGGGACTCCCCCTTTCCCGACTGCTTTCAGTGGTTCGATGCTGATGGTGTGTGGCAGGCAAGCGAATACTCGAGCTCCAGTGCTCACTAGGACTCATCAGCGTCGCGGATGCTTCACGCTACCCAAAGAGCAAGGAACTGGATCCCTATGGCCGGCAACCGTTCGGGCACCCTGCAACCGAATCCGTGGAGTGTCTATTGGGCGGTGCTCATCACTGGTTCACAAGTCACAAGCAACTCTCGACGTTGGCAGAACAGTACGGGTTACCAGAAGTGGTACGGTGGCATCCTAGAGACGTACGTACTCCTATTGAGCCCTTCATTCGTCCAATGCCACTAACCTCGCCGCAGCCCGACCGTCTTCAAGCATCTGGCTCTGAACTCGTCTACTCGCAAGCCATCCTCGCGATCATCGGCGCTTTGGCCTTAGAACAAGGTGGTGCAGTGGCTAACCAAATAGCAAAGGAGAAGGTACTCGTGCCACTTGGACTGAAATTAAATTGGAAACCCAAGGCCGAGCTGGCACAGCCATCGCAGCCACAAAGATAAAAAAGGGAAGCCCTCTTTCTCGCATGTGTATCAACAGTTATTGGCATTATACCATCATCATACCATGTACAGAAATGGAAGAAATGTATGGGGCCTCTGACACCGCCTAAGCAACTGTTAAAAAGAATTACTGCTCAGCCAGCTCTTATGGCACCGTCCACGAAAGTAGAACTTCGATCGGTCTCCGCGTCTCTATATCGCAAATTTCGGCAACTGAGTAGAAACCAAAGACTGGGACAGAATGTCCACAGGCTCGGTCAAAGATGCTGCATTGCACTGTCTGTAGGGCGCGTTAGTGGAGGGGAAAGAAAAAGAGAGAAAAGTCCGGCAATTAATATTTTGTTTGCGCTGAAAAGACGAGGCTGTCGGCTGAATTATTTTGCTTGGCATTGGGTCTAGCATCCGGTAAAATTTCGGAAAAAATGGGACATCTACTTGATCTGCGAGGCTGGGCAGCAGGGCGAGGCTGGATCTTTGAAGCAGTCCCCCAGGTACGAGGTACGAGGTACCGAGTAGCGCTTCGTAGCTTGTAAGGCTAGCTATTTCCTTGTGTCGCTGCCTCCAACAGTCTCTTGAGAGCTGGTCTGTACTTGTCTGCCACAAAGCATATAAACTGTCAAAGAACAGATCTAATTAGTCCACCTGTTGGCTCTGTAGGGTCCCTCTCTGTAGAACCCCCCCCTGAAAGTGTCGTTCGCGAGCCTCCGATGTTCATCCTGCTTGGCCACTTTGGACCACTTGATCTCTGAAGTAATCTCTTCTTCAAGTCCTTCTCTTGCAAGATGTATACTCTATGTTGGATCCAGGCTGCTTGATTTCGGCTGATGTCTGTGCTGCAGGTGCGCGATCAGAGAAAGTAAAGTCCTTGGGATTAATTGTCTCGGTCTCAAGCTGTGAACCGCTTGCGGCTACCGAGACCGCCGGAGAAGAAGCAATCATTTTGTAGGACGGTTGCGATATAGATGCAAAGGTAACCCGTAGTCAATAGCCAAAAAAATAAAATAAAAAAAAATTAAAAATTAAATACCTATGTTCATGAGGTGGCTTCTTGAACGCAGTTCTATCTGCAGCTGCATGGCTCAGGTGCTTATCATTAAGTGATTCGAGTCACACCAGAGCTGAATCAAGAGACAGGCTTACCTACTGTATAAAGATTCTGCTTTAGCCGCGCACGAGGGAAGCGTCCATCCCAGGTGTAATGGCGATGAGGAAGAGAACTGTGGAAAGATTTATTTAGTATCGGACAGGAATTCACCTAAGATTTTCGTAGGGGGTCGTCATTTGACTAAGGCAGGAACGGGACGGACAAGTGGGCGGGAGATTGAACTCCATAGGTAGCCGTGTTTCTGACCTCACTTACACTCTACTATTAGTAGTTCAGGTCTTGATCTCTTAAGGTCTAAAGTACTAGAATAGAAATATCTGATATTTGTCAAGAGGATCATACTTCTACTTCAATTGCTCAATTGCTGCCGATGCCAGGCTCTTCAAGAACGCTCCCGTCTCCCCAGGCGTGTATGCCAGATCGAGGACGAAGTTCTTCTTGACCAGCACACCTTCCAGGTGGATGTTGAAAGGCTTCTGATCCTCCCGCCTGGCAGTGAGTGTCCCCTTCAGCCGGGCAACTCTAATATTGCAGAGCGAACCCACGCTACAAATCATCTCATTAAGGGTGACATAGACCGCTCCTTCGACTGACTTGACAGCTTCGAGACCCGCCTGAGCTGCTTTGAAGGCGATATTGTTGTTCTTTGCTATTTCGAGGGCACCTTCCGCCGCCGTGACGGCAGCGCTGTCGACGCTGTTCTTGAGTGTCTCCAGCTCCAGCTGCAACTTCTGGGCTTCGAGGCGCTGGGTTTCTGCGTACTGGTCGTACAGGCGTTGGGCGTTGTCGACGATGGCTTTGGCTACCTTTTCGGCCGCTTCGAATTCTCCCTGGAGAGCGAGTTCAGCAACAGAGAGCAGTTTCCTGGCGTTTTCAAACTGGTCGCGAGCCTGCTGGATCGCGTTGGCAACCATCCCCTTGACTCTATCGAAGACGTCGCTAGCCCGAAGCCAAGCGTCTTTGAGATCTTTAAAGAGTGGCAAGTCCATCGTTGCCAATGCAAGGTTCAGTGCACCCTCTGCAACAGCCAGTACGGCTTTGGCAGTACCCAATGCGACGCCATGAGCAGCGATTTGTATGCTCTATGGTCAAATTAGCCCCGGATACTGTTGATACGCAAAGACCATACGACCTACCAAGTCCGGGCCGCGCCAGCAGCTCTTCCAATCGAGGTTGTTAAGCTGCCAAGTCAGATTGTCGATGTCTCGGCCAATGGAGTTGACCGACTCTGCCACATATGTTACAATCACCAACCCAAGGCACCTTTGAAGGCGGCAGATGAGACACTCACCGTTCGCCCTGCTGACATCATTGCGAGCTCGCCGGATAGCATCCTCGGCATCGCCAAACTTGGCCATGAAGTCCTGCTTCTTGCGTTCCCTCTCAGATAGTGCATTGTTCTCGTCGTTCCGGCCGTTTGCTTCTTTGCTCTGTAGGTTACTCTCGTCTGCCCTCACCTGATTCTTTTTTTCATCAAGCTTCCTGTCTCGTTCTAAACGAGCATCGTGCACCTTGTGTGTTTCTTGAATCTTTGCCTCCTCGATATCTTTCTGCATGGCGGCTTTCTTAGCTGAGCTGGCATGATCCAACGCTGCAATCTCAGCGTCCAAGGCGTCGTTCTTCTGCTTGTATACCAGGCGCTTGGCTTCTAGATTTTTCTGTGCTGCCTCAATCTCGGCTTTGTATTTAGCTTCGGCGTCGGCGACTGTGTGCTGTGCTTGATTGATCTTCAACTCGACTGCCTCGTGTAACTCCTTCAGGGCTTTCTGCAAGGTCTGCACCATATCCTGAATGATGTGTTGCTCGATCTCCACGTCGATTGACCAGTCTGCACTGGTGAGCTTCCTGGTCAAACTCTTTTCCTGAGTCTTGCTGACCATCTCTGCTTTTGCCTTGATTTTCAAGAGGTCGCTCCACTGAAACTGGAAGTCAAAGTAGAAGATTGGCGTCGGCAAGAGCTGCATGTGCAGATCGATAGACGCCCTCAGGTTCAGCACCGAAATCTCAATGTAGCCGCTAAGGAAGAATCTCTGTTTTTGCAGGTTGATGTCCATCTCCAAAACTGCAAAGGTGAGACCAGGCTTGTCGGCCAGGGTGACGTTGCCGCCGATTTTAAGGGGCCCAAGCTCGAAAGTCTGAAGCCAGGCTTTGAGATGGAAGCCTTCAAAGGTCAGCGAGCAGTCCATGTCGGCTTCGTGGTCGAACGCTATTATCGTGCCCTTGAAGCGGAAGCCTGGAGGATAGTAGTCGCCTGCGAAGGATACCCCTAGGCTGGCATAGATCAGGACGTCCCTGAACTCCAGGACCTTCATGTCCACCTTCGGAATCTCCTTGTCCATGACTGCAGCCACGAATTGGACCAGCTTGAAATAGTCCATGGACGGAGCGCTGACCTTGATCAGCATATCCTTGGGATTCTCGCAGACGTAAAGAGCCATTCCGTAGGCATTCTCAGGGACAAGCTCGCCAAGATAGAAGGACCCCAGGATACCAGCTCCCTGAAGGAGGCCAGTGGTCGTCAGCTGAACCCAGTTGAAAGAAAGGCCCACGGCCAGCTTTGGTCCTGTTTCGTTATTCCTGATCAGCCGATGTCCGTTCGTGTTCATGAAGGCGAATGATAGAATAGCTCCCTAGTTCTTGACACTCACCGATAGTGATTTCCTTGCTCAGCCCGAACGGATTGTTGATATGTCCGGTGAAGATCCTGGGAGTGAACTATTAGCGCCGTAAAAAATGCTGGTTATAAAAGCAAAAGCGTACAATTCTCCAGACACTTCTGTCGGGCTAACATTTGCTCCGAGTTGAAATCGGAGCCATTCGCCTTCATCTTCGAGGCAGACTTGAAAGCCTCCCACAAAGCGCAGACTCAGACCGCCAACCTGGAGTTCGAATCTGTCGGATCTGAACGATCTTAGGATGGCACAGTGTTAGTCCCGTCAGCATCTGTATGTATCTTCGCCTCACCTTCAAAGATGGAGGCAAGAAAATCGAGATATTGGGGACTTTGGAGCCTTTCTCCCAGCCGATGGCGAGCTGCGTTGAATCACCTGCTGCTGGCGCCTTGACTGCTCCGCCAGTTTGGACGTAAGGAATCTGTTCTAGCGTTGCCCACAAATAGAATCCTCAAGGGGTGTTAGCGAATCTTTTCAGCCCGCTGTGGATATAGTGAATACCTTGCTTAATGACGTAGCCGTTCGAGCTCAGGCTGCACTTGGGGTCATTCGTGCTCGCAGCAACAAGGGATACCGATTTCAATCTGACATCGAGCTCTGACTTCTCCTCGATCGAGGAGATTATGTCTCGCAGTGAGAGGTCGGAGTCCATGCTCCCACAAACTACCCAAAACCATTCCTTGTCCTGTTTGCCAGCGGCAAGAGTCACTTGAATGTCGATTGGCTTCGAGACCCCTTCCCGTATGGTGATCCGACCGGCCACCTCGAGCCCACCATACCAGCTCTTCTGGGTCGCCGCTGAAGTTTCCTTGACCTTCTGTCCAGCAGGTACTGCGCTTGTGCCACAGCCGACCATGAGAGTCAGAGACGCGTCGTTGATGGTGATGTATCCATCCTCAATCGGCCACTCATGAACGTCAGCTCGAACCACAATGCCAGCTGAGGTGATTGCAATTGTGGCTTGGGCTAAATGTCGTCGATTGAGTGTGAGAGCACCAGTCAGTAGAAGCTGTGCCTTGGATATTCTGACGGTCAGCTTTTCGCAGGTAATGTCGTGATCCGAGGGTTCCAGGTCTTGCCCATGGATGTCAGAGAAAAGCTTCTCGATGTCGCTCCATGTCACCTTGTCCAAAGTGCCTTGAACATACGATGCATCTACAGGTGTGGTCAGAGTTGAGCCTCCATTGCTTCATTATGAACGCACCTGGATACTGCTTGTATACCACACCCTGTAAAACCACAGTACCACTGCTAGAAGTCTTCCACTTTGCTGAAACAGTGAATGATAGAGACGCAGCGAGTTCTGCCTCTGTTGGTGCTGAGGGAATCGCTTGGGACTTAGGGGCAGCCGGGCCACCAGCCTCCCCTGGCTTAGCGGCACCAGCGGCCCTTTGCAAGGGAATGTGAACCAAGAATTTGGCTTCATCCAACTACACAAAAAACAAGTCAGCTGTTTCGGCCGCGATATAATCATTCCGGACTTCGTACCAACAACGATTCCACGCCCAAAGGGTTTCTCCACTTGCCATCGCCCGGTATGCTCATATCAAGTCGAAGGAAGGCCTCATTGATGGTAGCTTTGTACTCGAGAAGCAGTGGACCGGTCAGGCCCGGGATCATGACATGGAGGTCTCCAAAGATGGTGCAGCTGAGATCTTGCGATTTGGCTGGTGCTGTGGGTGATTCGATCTCTGGCATCGAATTGGTGCGCCCTACGTTGAGCTTTATGCCCACCGATAGGATGGTGACTATCTCAAGACCTGGTGGCATGGGAGTCCGCAGCCCAAGCAGCGAACCCGTGAACGATAAGCCATCAGCGGCGTATGTGCCGTCCGGTATTTGAGAAACTCCAAGATATGCTGAAAGTCTCAGTGAGGGCTTGGCCACATCTCCAAGGAATTCTTTGAAGACATGGAAGACTTCGTCAAGAAGACCATTGAGCTCGACTTCCGTCCGCAGGTAGAGGCCCGCTGGCTGGTCAACGATAGGCTTGGACCACCATTCAATCGCAGACTTTCGAAATGAGACTGAACCAAAGGCCGTCGAAGAGAGTTCTGGAAACAATGAGCTTAGAGAGACCGAGTCATCTACCTCGTATTTCCAGAACTCTCGCTTTTCGCCAGGAGGGATAGGTTGTCGTCTGCCAGCAACGCCTGCAAAGACCGGATCTGCCCAGAAGCCATCCCAGCTGGTAAACTTTGGTGGCTCTTCCTCGTAGAGTTTCAGCTGGTCACTTGTCAGATCGACTTTACCGACAGACTGCTTGACGTTGGAGAGAGAATCCGAAGCTGGCACACTTGGGTTGTTCGCATGCGAACCGGCAAATACTGGGTCGACCCAAAAGCTCATCTTGCGTTGGGGTGGCTCAGTGATGCTTTGAGAGAGAAAAGTGAAGGAGGATCAGTTGAGGGAAATTGCCTCATTTATAAGTTCCTCTGCTACGCCCCTGATCCAACATGCGGTCTTAAACAGCCGGCAAGCACTACCCCTATCATGAGAATGCTCGACGGTTGTGGTGTTCCAAGCTCATGGAATCAAGCACGGTGTGTTGTATTCCTCCTGTAATAGGGGATCACTCTGCATCCTACTACTCACTTGTGGCCAAGGACACGAGCCCCGTTATGACTGCAATAGTGCGAGTAGGGAGAGGTCCGCCCCCTTCATCTACCAGGTGATCATAGGCGAATATTTGCCCTATCAGAAGGTCGGCCTGATTCTCGGAAATCCTTCTACCCTTTGTTCGCCTTTAGAAGTTGTGAAGCTCGTCGCCAGCAAAGCGCCGCGCCACATCCTCAACGGTACCAGCATCCTTGAATCCCAGGCTTTCAAGGAAATCAGCCGCCTTGCCACCAAGCTCTGTGTAGGTATTTTCGACGAAACGGTGCTGCAGAAGATCAGCTTCACTGTGAAGCTGAAACAGCCTTAATCACCTACCTGATAGGGCTTGTTGGATTTGTCATGAAAGACCAGGAATCGCTTTGTCTTTTCCTTATCCTGACCGTATTGGAAACTGTCATCCACCACAAAAGTGAAATCTTTGCCATCCTTCTTCTTCTGCTTGAATTCTTCAAGCTTGCTGGCCTGCACATAGATCTTTTCCGCTGCACCAGCACCTTCTAAAGATAGTTTCAGCACTGGAATTCCAGGTTTCCGAATGTGGGAGCTGGAGGACTCACCGCCAGACTCGACAGTGTACTTGCACAACCAATAGTCCTCATTCCTTGACCTCAGCATCTGTGACCAGTGGATGGTGAGCTTCTTGCCGTTGTTGCCACCGAGGAACTCGGCTGGGACATAGATTGTGTCGCCTTTGTTTACAAGGGGAGCCATTCTGGAAGTCGCTTGGAATGGATGAAGGGATGTTGGGAATTTTTCAGTGCAGCTGTTGTTATGCTGGACCGAAGTCCCGGTCAAGTAGACTAATTCACCTCTTTTATACTTGTAGGAGACGTCACATGCTGAGTCTCCTCTTCGTTATCGTGAGACAGGTGACATGATGACCTTAAGAAACGAAAGGTCTTCCTTGCAGCGACAGTTTTGTCTGCATAGTCGATGCAAGGAGCATTCCGCCGCATGCTTGCTGCATCTTCGACGACGTCTTGGAAGCTGACGCTACAAAAGGTCTAGATCCTTGCTCTCAGCTCAGCCACTGTAGCCGTGGACTGAGACTTAAAAAAACAGATGGCAGAATTGATGTCCACCTTGTGGAGTTTCGACCGCAGATGGCAGGATACTTGCTTCACTCCTTCACTTATCGGTGAGCATGTGAGCTGAAAGGTGCATTGGCTGATGAGTCAACTTACCGAGAACAGACGAAAAAGTCAAGTAACTGCTGCGGGTTAAGACATGGTTCTGGACACATGCAGGTTGTTCCAGCATCGCGCCGTTTTTTGTCGACTCTAGGTATTTATGCTGTTAGGATAGGAAAACTTGAGGTAGGTACCCGCTTAAAGGGGCAAAAAGGGCAAAGCCAACACGTGGTTGCCTGCAGGAACAGTACTTGGCGAGAAACATTATTGGCTCGCTTATATATGAGCTAACCATGTTGGTGGTGTACATACACGACCAGACCAATAGGAGCACCCTCGCTCCAAGGGCCTTTTCCCTTCAAAAAAATCTGCCCACCTTCACCGCCAGACTTTCTCGGACGTCTAGATGTTGACAAGGATGCAAGGACCGAGCGACGAGGTCGGCAGTGGTCATCGAAAGGCACACAGGGAAGGAAGTCTCGGTAATGTTTAGAGAGAATAAATGTATGTCCAGATACAGCTCCTTAGAGATGTTGCCTGAAACAATGTTGCACGAAATCAAGACCCTCACCCATGAGGTATGTGGGTCAGCAAGGGCCTGGCCAAAAAGAGAACTGACTTCAGCTAGCCACTCGATCCGAACCGGATCAAGCGGTCAGATGAGAGTACACGCGATGATCGTGTCATTTACGTAACACCTGGCGACAAAGAATCTTGATACCAATTATTTGCCAACGAACAGAGGACAAGACGGTGGCGCCGTTCAGGGTGGATATAGAGATGAACAGTTAGTCCGCCCTGCATCTCGCATGAAAGACCTCCTAATTGATTACTAGAACGGCACCAATCTCTCGTTCAGGCAAACTTGTGGGAAAACTGATACAAAAATACTAGCCCCCCATGTCTGCTTCTAGATGTGTACATGTCGCACGGTCCAGGCAAGTTGAAAGCTCCACTGTTGCTCTCTCGGTTAGCGGTTAGACGAATATCTTCTTCTACCCCATCGCACTCTTCTGGCTGGCCGAGAATGTACTGTGATCTTTGACCGGATAACCACGTTTCTCTCGGCCATCCTCAACTGATATGGCTCAGTGACTGCGTGGTCGACTCCATTCTGACATACCTCAGCATCCATCGTGTCAGACGGCGAGGGAGATACGTTTTCTCTTGGGACAGAAAGCCGTTCCTCAAACGACGTCTCCCAATGGCACGCTGAGTAAAATCATTCCATCTGGAGGATAGGTTATCCACACTTGGAGGTTTATTGACATGACCCATAATGAAAAGATGGCTGAAGTCATATCTACCATTGTTGCCTTGTCCAGTCCTCCTGATCTGGACAGCTATACCGTCCAATTCACCAGTGAACCGGCAAAAGGAGAGTGTGAGGGGCACATTGCAGCGCTCAGAAAAGCATTGTGAGGCTTATAATGCTCGGAAGAATGGCAATGCAAAGTTCGGTGGAATGGGAAAGGAGGCCTATCTTGTTTTTTCTTTTGTCTATACCGGCCATTTCCCTCTAGAAGTTCTAAATTTCATTACGTCGGAAAGGGTTGTACCCTCCTGAAGAGGCAAGGAGTAGTTCTTTCTCCTCTGGGTCAAGGCAAGAAGTCCGCTAGTAGTGCTTCACTCCAAGACATGGAGGACATCATTCTCAATGCAGGATGTTGGGGTTATGCAGGTCTCCCTGAGCTAGAGAAATGGAATAAGCACGAAGCGTACACAGGATTTTGTTCTTGGTAAGAAGGGCAAGAGCGTTATCATTATGTGCTGATCCCACTGTTCGAGAATATATTGTATGATTCAAACAGCCGCTGATCTCGCCTCTCATTCTTGTGGTCGAGGGGCGGGACCAAGCGAACTGCGCAGGAATGTCGCCTCAACACAGACACCAAAGTTTCCTCCAGAGAGCGAAAAGGACCATGGAATGTACCGGACTATGGCGGCCTGACATTGCTGGTCGCGACATATGTGGAGCCAAGCTGCTGCACCGTTAGGAACCATTTCTCTTTAGAACGAAGGCCGAGTAGTGGGAAGTTCATGGATGAACTTGATGCTATATTGAAGCATTACAAGAGTCTCGAACCGCCACAGTCACGTATCATCAGTTGCTCGGTTGGAAGCTTGGGTGATTTGGAGCGCCTGAGATTTTCTGGAGCATTTGCGGGGTCATCTCGACAGTTTCTGGAGACGTAGCCGCAACACTCATATAGGAAGGTGAAAATTTTCTGGATTAAACTTCTGGCGGGACATCCAGAGATACTCTCGATACTAGTAGACTTGATCGAGCAGACAACTGGGCAAGATTCTGATGTGGTTGAGGGAATAGGATGCCGCTGAATAGTACAAAAGAGGCACCCGCCTCACCTGAGACTGGTGTTGATGTATATGCGTCAGCGTTCATTTCCTGGGCCCTCATATCACTCGAGTCAGCGTGGACAGGAAGGCGTCATCATTTTCCGAGCTCATCGATGAGACGTCATTCGGTGAGATATGCTTTGCTCTGAGAGCATCTGCACCGCTCTTTGCGCTTCGAAACACAGACTCGGGCAGGTCCATCGCCCCAAGAGAGCTGAAATCACATGCCATCAGGTGAGACCACAGGTGTGGCGAAAGTGATGCTATGAAATTCTTGGCTTACAAAAGCTCTGACTCCGCTAGAAGTCAACCATGAGGAATTTCGAGTACGTAAGTAAAGTTATGCACAAGCGCGATGCTGAATTGTTGCATTTACTCTTCAAAGAAAGGTTCTCAGGAGATGCGGTGGAGAGCTATTTTCAAGTCAGCTCCACAAGGCTGCGCAAGAAACCCATTTTCGCAAGGCTGCCACACGTGATGGTTTGTTAGGTGCGGTACAATGTGGGATGCGGAGAGTAAACGTATGGGATAACAACGTAAATAATTATTTCGCGCCTCACCACCACTGCTTCTCCTTCTTCTCTTCCTCCTGCAGCGCATTTCCAGACGATGCGATCTCTCTGTCATTTGTCCACCTAACCTGCTCATCATCTCTTCAAGTCTGGTTGCTCCTCCATCTCACCCTCTCCTCGCCTCGGGCGTCCCCCAGGCACCATGGCGTCTGCGGTCTTCTTCCTCGACTTGAAGGGCAAGGTGAGCGGAAGATGCCAATCTGGACAAGATGGCATAAAATAATGATTATCCTAGACTCTTCTTGCTCGCAACTACCGTGGAGATATCCCCATGTCCGCAGTGGAGAAGTTTCCAATCCTGCTTTCCGAAGCCGAAGAAGAGTCGTCTGCAGTTCCCCCTTGTTTCTCTGATGAGGGCATCAACGTTCGTTGCCGCTACTCTCACTGAACGCGTTCCCAGCTAACAGCGCTCCAGTATCTCTACATTCGCCACAATAATCTCTACCTCCTTGCTCTTACCAAACGCAACACCAATGCGGCAGAGATCCTCTTGTTCCTTCACAAGATCGTGGAGGTCTTCACTGAGTACTTCAAAGAGCTGGAAGAGGAGTCAATCCGAGACAACTTCGTCATCATCTATGAACTGCTTGACGAGATGATGGACTTCGGATACCCTCAAACCACCGAGTCCAAGATCCTCCAGGAGTACATCACTCAGGAATCCCACAAGCTTGAGGTGCAGGCACGCCCTCCCATTGCAGTCACTAACGCTGTCTCTTGGAGAAGCGAAGGCATCAGATATCGCAAGAACGAGGTGTTCCTTGACGTCATTGAGTCTATTAACCTCTTGGTGTCATCCACTGGCAACGTGCTGCGATCTGAGATTCTGGGCGCCATCAAGATGAAGTGCTATCTTTCCGGAATGCCAGAACTCCGACTAGGCTTGAATGATAAGGTCATGTTCGAGACTACCGGAAGATCCACACGAGGCAAGGCCGTCGAAATGGAGGATGTCAAATTCCACCAGTGCGTGAGACTCTCTCGATTCGAGAACGACCGAACCATCAGCTTCATCCCACCTGACGGAGAGTTCGAGTTGATGAGTTATCGACTTAACACCGCAGTCAAGCCATTGATCTGGGTCGAATGCGTCGTGGAATCCCACTCTGGATCAAGAATCGAATACATGTTGAAAGCCAAAGCTCAGTTCAAGCGACGATCGACTGCTAACAACGTCGAGATCATCATCCCTGTCCCGGACGATGCCGATACCCCGAGATTCCGAACCAACATCGGATCTGTGCACTACGCGCCGGAGAAATCTGCTATTGTTTGGAAGATCAAACAGTTCGGTGGCGGCAAGGAATTCCTGATGCGAGCAGAGCTAGGCCTTCCTAGTGTCAAGGGAGATGACGAGCGTGGCGGTGGCATGACTGGGGGCTTCGGAGGTAGCATGGGGGGTATTACAGGTGAAGGAAAGGCCAAGCGACCCATCAATGTCAAGTTCGAAATCCCTTACTTCACTACCAGTGGTATCCAGGTTAGGTATTTGAAGATCATTGAGCCAAAGGTTTGTGAATCCACCCTCTGCTGTTCAAAAATCGTCTCTAATACCATGCAGTTGCAATATCCATCCTTACCATGGGTCCGCTACATCACACAATCTGGGGACATCGCCGTCCGCCTGCCAGATGTGCAGGGACGTTGAACC